CCGTAATAAGCATTCAAAATATTAAAACTGTTTAAATTACAGACAACAGTACGAGTAACGGCACAAAATAAGAGAAAAATCAACAAAAATACTTTTTTTCAAACCAAATATAAATGCGCATATGATTACCCGTAATCGAGCAAGACTAGTGGTTCTCAACCTTTTTTCTTTCATGGCCTAATTCGTTGCCCCAGCAATCTCGTGGCCCATTAACTTCTTATTGCAAGAGAAAAAGTACAAAAAAATTCGAAATCTTTCAGCGAAAATAGACGATTTCCTCTTCAATATTGAGAAGGAAAATTACCACTCAGTAGCTGAAAGCAACATTATTATTCATCATTTTTATTAGTTCTGTTGCCCACCACAAATTCTCTGTGGCCCAGAAGTGGGCCATGGCCCGCTGGTTGAGAACCAGTGAGCTAGACACATTGTATACAATGTCACAATCTTTCTTGTTTTCTCATCATACCGATCTTAATATGAGAGAGATTGCTGACTTAAGTGAGTTCATTATAGACGCACAATAGCTATTTCGGGCAACTGTTTCTATACTTTGGCAAGCTCTATTGCGTGATTGTGATGTCGCAATGAGGTAATTTTTGGATGATGTATTTAGATGGGGTTAAGGAGTAACGTATGCACAAATGTTTATGCCACGCTCACTAGAAGTATTTGTGTACCATACCAGGGCTACTTAACTGGCGGACCGCGGTCTGAATCCGAACCGTTCGACTATTCTATTCATATCGCTAACAACCAGAACCTTCAGAGTGACATGAGCTACCCTTGTGTAAACTAAAAAATCATAATTAATTCATTTGGCTATTTGAGCATACGTGTAAAGCAAAAATCCGAAAAACAAAACATTTTGGGATCCACACCGGTATCATACTATCCTGATTTCTGCTGTTGTGGACACATTTTTATGGTTTGTCTGGGTTAGCATGAATTTACCGGGCTATATTGTACCTAACCTACAGACCTATCCTGAACCTGAACGGCATCAAATAATACAGAATACCCGAAATAATGTGCCATTACAAAGAACAAATTGATCAAATTATGCCAGTCGTACATTCCTAGAATTTGCCGGTACCATAAGACATACTGGTATCACGCAGCCTTAAGGCATAGCATCGGCCTGAAAGCGCATTACAGAATTACCCTACAGTTCAGCAGTTTGACAGCTGACGTTCCCTTGGTAACAACGCTTTTCTTCCTCTAGCGATAACCTGATCGCAAACGAATCAACTTATTGCAAGCCAGACTAAAACATCAGTCAGCGATCGACTCTGCGAACATTTTGCAAACAGGTCATCAGTTGACAATGAATGTGATCTTCTTCGGTCAACCTATACAACATTAATAATGACGTCATAAATCAGGAGATCCCGTTGTTAGAAGTCGGTCACGTGAGTAAAATGATTGACAGAATGACCTAAAATTTAAAAAAAACGAACCACGCGAAATAAATAACCGGAAATCTTGTATTTGACAAATAAAATTTTATTGAAACAGCTACAATATTGCCTTATATTGTAGCCTTAAACAGCTACAATATTGCTATTGCTCCTGCAGCTGCTGATTGTTGTTGAGCCGGCAGTTAATCTCTCTCCACCTGTTCTACATCTATTGTTGGTGTGTCGGGTTCTGTAGCATGCACAGCAAATTATTTTATTTATTTATTTTTCAAATGGCTGTTTACACTCTGACATCTGCATGCGCATGTTCCCTTTTTGCTTAACGTTGGATTTTTGACATTACACATGCATGATCTTTGTTTCTATATGGGTGGTGTGATACCTTATGAGGGTTGTAGACCGTATAGTTTAGCTCCTGTACCTATTATTGTAATTAGGCGACCAGTGGAGATATATTGGATTCTCCCCTTCATTTTAATTTGTTGTGGTATTCTATGATTTGTTTTGTGTGTATACAAAATTTTATCCTAGGTTGAGGTTCTGCTGTGAAGTTGATGTGAAGGCCAACATACGAATGGTCAGTGTGGTTTGAGAGTTTCTGCATGGTTTGCGAGGAATTCACCCTGTGTCCCAACCATATTTCAACTCTGGTCTTTGAACTAGCGTTTTATAGATAGATAACTAATAATCAATATCTACTCGAAATAATAATTAATTCTAAACAAAAGTGTATGGTAGTGCTGTTTCCAAATATGTAACCCTTGAATATCCTACTCGCAGATTTGTTTTCTGTTTTTCAGGTCGTTCTGTGATGATCAATACAATGGCTAGTTTATTGAATATAAATGGTGTCTACAACAACAAAATTCGCAGGCTGATGTCTCATCCACGATAAACTTGAACCTATTACGCCATAATAATTAAATGAAGAAATGATCCTGTGAAATAACAATACTAATTCCTTTATTCCTAATTCCTTTATCCTTGCAGAAGTCAATATCTAAGAATGAAAAAAAAAACCTTATAACCTTAGCAACCGACATATTCCTATACCCTGTCTTTCTACCTTAATTAATTATAATTACTCATACTTATAAAGTTACTGATAGATTTAAATACTTATTGCAATCTGGACTACAATTTGGCAATAATAGGCTCTAGTTTGGGCAATGAAGTGGTCTAGCCCACCTCTTCATGCACCCAATTCTGGCAACTTTGGTTGGGCATTTTGGCATTTGACTCCATCTATAATCAGCTTGAACAATATATTTTTTTATAAAAGTTTATCTTTACTGTTCACTCCCATTTATAAAATTGATCAATTTGGCAGTGGCAATCATGATAAATTTATTAATATGGTGTGGCAAGTAATTTTTATTTATTTATTTTTTATTAACTACCAGTATGTAATTTTTCATGTTCCCTTTACTTAATAACTTCTATATGGTTGTGTGTGTGGGTGCGTGTGAGCGTGTGTGAAATATTTCAATTATTTTAGGTGAGTGAACACGTACCACATCTTCTTGGCAAAACCTTCCATCTTATATACATTCTGTACGTTTTAAACCTTATCTAAGGTTTTGTTCGCTCTCCTGATTTCATAATCAGTTTTTATTTATTTATTTTTAGCATTCATTTTATTGTTTTGCTGATTATGGAGTCGAAATAAACTTATACTTATGATTTGTGTACAACGTATTAGATATACAGTATATCCGACAACTTCGTGGTGTAGTTAAGGGTTAGCTTACCATGCGTCCCGGACTCCTGAGTGGGTTTATATTACAATGCTTTATTTTACACACTCCATGTAATTATTTGTATTCCGGGTCTATTCTCCTAACCTTCCAAATTCCCAGTCAGGAATTTTCTGACTCGTACACTTTATCAATGGGCTCAGCCTTTATTAGCGATTAAATTTCCCAGCGTAACAAATAGTATAATAAATATGATGATTATTTATGATGCCTCATGAACATAAGGAGGAAATCATTATTCCACATTATCAAGTTCAACATTTTACATAAGTATTTTCTTGAATACACATAACAGTATTTTTGACAATGTATTTGATACCTTCAGTTTTTGCACTTGCAAGTTGCTAAATGAGGTAGTCCTGTCTTTTCTTGGTCATGAATTTTAAAGATTGACCAATTATCAAGTTCAACATTTTACATAAGTATTTTCTTGAATACACATAACAGTATTTTTGACAATGTATTTGATACCTTCAGTTTTTGCACTTGCAAGTTGCTAAATGAGGTAGTCCTGTCTTTTCTTGGTCATGAATTTTAAAGATTGACCAATCCTCAACTATTTCGATGGCTCCTTCCAACCCCCAAGCACATATCCAGCGATTTCTAATCAGCTGATATTTTGATTAAAAATCCGAGTAATTTAATAGTATTACAGTATTTTCGTAGATAGTCTTCTGCAATAGGAAAAAAAATAACGAAACACTATAGTTACCCCTGACCTATACATTATCTGAAACTGTATTGTGGAAAACTAGATAACTCCGCGACAGTAGCCCTTTCGTTCACCCTAACCGTCGTTATCATATACATAATATGGATAGGATAGGATTTACATATTTATCCCGGGGGAGAGGAAAGCCGATAAGACGGCTTATCCATATGGCGAGCCAAGGCCTCTCGTCCGGTTACCATTCCAAAGTCGGGTATGGGATTAGGTATATTGTTTATTTTCGGAAGCATGGACTTGGTGGTGGAGGAAGCCGTGATTGACCAGCGGTTACATGAACCACCCAACGACGGCGAGGAGTCCAGCAATCCTCTCGCACATAACCATCCCTGCATGGGATTCGAACCTGCGAACCCATGCAGAGTAATTAGAGGTGCGGTGGCGAGCGTATTCCTAACGCTTAGCCCGTTGAGCCACACCGACGGGCCATATGAAATAGTGTATATGGGGGGAGCTGACTCTGATGACCCTTTGGACGTATCGCTCCCCCCAGTCTATACCGAATTTTTATTATTTTTGTTGCAATGCTTGTTACTCTGGTTGACGAATATCAAAACTCTCGCTCCCGGTTGAGCCGGGACAATCCCTGTTTTTCAGTCGTCCCGGCGTTAGACTTAAATGTCCCGACATTGCAGTACGACAGTCATAAATAATTTTCCTATTTGATACCATTGCAAAATTGTTTTTTTAACGGATGCAGCCGATTTACAACCACATTGCGTCTCACTTTTTTAGTTCAGACAGAGAGAAAAATTGGTATATCATAGTAATGATATGAAGTATGAACCATGCGTTAATTTAACACCCAACTGTATTGTCGTTTAATCATAAAAATGTCGGAACGAAGCGCAAGTTTTCTGATGAGTTGAAACATTTCTTTTATTTGAAGCAAAGACAAATAAAGGAATTTTTTCAATGCGATTTACAGCTAATTTTGATGCTTGTAATCTACTAACCCCTGGAATCGAACCAAGGTTGGTTTGACCAATCGCGGCGCCCCGGTTATTTGCTTCAGAAATATGGTAAGCCTAGTTAATGGATGCCTAAATACCTGTTATTGCCCCATCACCAAAATGAAACAAGAGTATGAAGCACAAATGTATTAAAATCAAAAACACAATAGGTTGAACAATAACTCAACATAGACTGATTCATCCTAATCCAAGAAAAACATAAATTCTTCCAATAGCACGTGGCGGCTCAATTAAAAATCTGAAGAATATGTTGCTTCTTTTAAAAGCCTTGTTGAAAGGGGCAAATCGAGATACAATATGAAAATGCTTGAAATATGGCTGAATATTCAGATTTATTTGGTCTACAACGAGAGCGAACTCCACAAAGTCGGTGGAATGGGTGTTTATTAGGAAACCAAACAAATGCTTCAAATTCTTATTCTAATAGGTTAGGTTCGTAGGGTGGTTCACATAACCGCTGGTCGGTTACGGCTTCCTCCACCATCAAGTCCATGCTTCCGAAAACTAAAATAACTTAACTAATCCCACACCCGACATGGAATGGTAACTGGACGAGATGCTGTGGTTCGACATATTGTTCAGTCGTTTTATCAGCTTTCCTCTCCCCCAGGATAAATATGTAAAATCCTAATATTCTTTCAATCTTGTTTTTTTTTCAACCCAACCAAAAGTCTGTTTGCTCTCCAACCATAATTTGCGATTAGCAGTTAACACCACAAGTTTGATACATTTTATTACTTATTGCGGAAGTTTGAGTTTATTTCGACTCCATAATCAGCAATAGACGATAAAATAATTGATAAAAATAAATAAAACTGACTAAAGAATCTGAAAAGCAAACGAAACCTCAAGTAAGGTTTAAAGTGTACAGATTTTAGGAATTTGAAAATATAATTAAAATTAATTTGCTAACTCAATAGAAAACTAGAGATCAATACCTTCATATGAATCAGATTTTGAGAAACTCACAGCAACCCAACTTGACAATAGGTGAAAAACAAAGTTCAAAAATTGGGTGGAATTTACGTTAAATTCTTTTGTTCTGTGGAGTGGTTCAAAACAAACTATAATTATGTCGTAGGTAAAGATCTCTGGTTAAACCCCACATCCATCATCCCAATGAAGTGTGATTTAAAGGCAAGTTTGAATATTCTGATCCTTCCAAAAATATGTATCACTATCATTACTTATTGGTGCCGTCAATATGATCCATGTAAATATCTAGCTACTCTTGGTTGATGTCTGTTCCTGAGTGATTTGTCTTCTTTACTGGAGATGACAGATTCTGTAATAGAAAGTGTATGGATAGTACAAGAGATGATACATGTTTTATATCTCGCAAATATGGTGGATTTTATTTCAACATTTTTTTGAGTGAAGTCATGAGCTAAATTCTTTGCCCTTTACCTAGTCCAGGGTGTAAGAAATTAGAGCTAAGATCTAAAGCCCATGCCACAAATGTCAATCAGTACGTTTGGGTCGAGTTGGGCTTCTCTATTGATCCCCTTTTTTTTAAATGAGGCGTTTCGGTCATGTTATGATCATGAAAGCAAAAATGTGCCTCATCAACACATATTGTACTAAAAAACTCTGCAATGACAATTCAAAAATACTTCTAAATAAAATATGAAATTTTGGGTTTGCTTTCGGCTCGGGCCTGCAAATCCAGTTAATTAGTCAGGGGTCTGGGTCGGACCGGGCTGGAATTTTTGGGCCTGATCTTACCTTTATAATATATTGGCAATTTCAGAAAACTTCATATCCTTCTAGAAATAGTAGCTCCATACAAATCATCAGCAAAATAGGTCTCATAAAAATTATTATTCAGCGCTCCAGAAGTATGTGCACCAAGATGGCGAATGCTGAAAATGTGTCAAAATCTGAGTCTAAATTTCCCAATAGTCAGAATTTTAGATTTTGGGAAGTGCGAAGTAAGAGTCTAATTTTTAACTGAAATCAAAAAATGAATTATTTAGGCCCAAAAATTGTGTCTTGAGGCAAAATGAGATATATTTATCAATTCATGGAGATGAGTAGACATTTTGAAAGATGCAAAAAATTCAAACCTAGGACTTTGACTGGTACACCGGCATGGCTCATCGTGCTAAGCGTTAGGAATACGCTCGCCACATCACCTCTGATTACTCTGCCTGGGTTTGCAGGTTCGAATCCCATGCGGGGATAGTTATGTGCTAGAGGGTTGCTGGACTCCTCGCCGCTGTAGGGTGGTTCACGTAACCGTAGGTCGGTTACGGCTTCCTCCACCATCAAGTCCATGCTTCCGAAAACAAATAACTAACTAATCTCATACCCGACATGAAATGGTAACCGGACGAGAGGCCGTGGTTCGCCATATGGATAAGCTGTCTTATCGGCTTTCCTCTCCCCCGGGATACATATGTAAATCCTATCCTATCCTACATTGAATTACCTGGTTTGCTATTTCCATAAAGAGCTTTGACACAAACCAGACAAACGGTCTCATCAACTTTTTCCCAGAATCAAATAACAAAAGCATCTACCTCTTATGTTGGGCAATCCAGGAGACTTCTTCGTGGCAGTTTGAGATTTTATAATTCAAGAACAAAATTGCTGATTGATAACATCTTCAAATATCCTGTGGATAGGAAAAGGTATTTCAAGTCCGCTCTGAACAAGGCATTACAAAAGCAATCACCTAAGCTGTTTTAAATGCAATGCTGAGCCAAAAAGATTTCAGTCTTCTTAATTAATGAATATACGAAGTCTCAAAATGGCGACCGAATCTTGGAATCTGGCAACTAAACTCAACTTTACCTTATTTTTGACAGTACAAAGTCCAACATAGGAGACATGTCCATCGTTCATGATGAAACTGCCAAGACATTTCACATTGAAAACCAATTGTAGATTTCATCTTGAAGTTCCTGTGTATAAGAGATGATTTTTATTCATTAAAGAGTACTCATATTGAAAACCACTAAGATGCACAATGGGTTAGCAAGACAATAAATTATCATCTCACGTCACCTTTTAGTCAATTATTTACTAAATATAAAATATCAAAAGACTTTATTTTATTTTAAAAAACCAAAATGAGAATTTGAGCTTGGCCACCATCAAGCATAAAATCCTAATCTGACACTTTATCTCTAAAAAAAAGGGAAAAAAATACATAAGGATTTTTGCTCCTGTTGCTGTCAATTTTCAAATTTGTTGTGGAAAAACTGTTTTTGTGTGAGGCCCAGCTAGATGTGTGAAGTTGGTTATATGGCCCACCGACAAAAAATATTGCCCACCCCTGGGGTTAAGTGTTGTGTTGGACCTAATTATATTGAAACCTCAAAGTTCAAACCTCAAGCCCAACACCTCACCCTGGGTGTAATAAATTAAATCGACAACGCTAAACCGTAAAGATTTCAATCATTAAAAAATATAGAATCTCCTAACATGTCAGTGAATGCTTGTACAGAGCCTTGTTCAGAGTGAAAGGCATAAATTAATTTGGAATGAATGGCTTACTAAGGATATACTCAATATGAAATATTAAAAGAACATCTCCAAACGAGCAAAGTCTCAAATTGGAAACTGAATCTTGGAATCTGACAATTCAACTCAACTTTACCTTATTTTTGACAGTACGAAGTCCAACCAAGGAAACCTGTCCATCGTTCATGATGAAACTTCTCAGGCGGTAACGAGACATTTTACATTGGAAACCAGTTGTAGAATTCATCTTGAAGTTTCCTGAGTATAAATAATGATTTTTATTTTGTTATGTTTGCTCAGATGGCCAACAACTAAGATATATTGGGCTACTCTTACAAGTAAGGATGCACAGTGGGTTTGTAAAATGCCAGTCAAGCATGACCTTCAGCCATTGTGAAAAGAAAGCAGTGATTAAGGAATGCTAAAAAATTTCCAAACGTATTTCCATCCTCGCTGTTAGCTAGTCTCACACAAAATTTTGTATTGAGGGAAAAACGGAAAAATTTAGCCACATACTAACTACAGAGCAATGGAGCGTAGCTGGTCAGAATATTTTCATCAATATCAAAAGGTAATAATGCTGCTTCACTATCACCAAAGGCCAAACTGAATTCAAAAAAGAAAATAAAACATGATCGGTGTCCAATTAAATTGCAAACCCTCTCCCATTAACAGAATGTTACATCGCTGTGCTTATTCTACAGATACTATGATGGACGGTTGGATGTGAATTCGTTTACACCCCGTACACCTGCCATTGCTCACGGCTTCAGTTATACTTAGGACAAATTACGCTTTTAATATTGTTGGTAAGATAAATAGGGAAATGTGGTGCAATAACATAACATAAACAGAATGAAAGAAAACCCCTGACAATTCCTCTGCGGTTGATAGCCATAGTTTGAGTCAGAACTTCTGCCAACCTATGACTATGTTTGGGCTAGCCATACGTCCCATTTTAGCAGGACAGTCCCACCTTTTAACATCTTGTCTCGGCGTTCCAACCGATCATCTATAGTGCCGCTAAGTAACTGGTTGAAAATTCGGGCAACAGTTTGATTACTCGATTACTTGGCGACTCAGGTTCAAATTCAAACCAAAGTTCAGTAGACAATGCTCAGCCCAAAAGATTTCATGAATATATTAGAATTAATGAATATACGAAGTCTCAAAATGGCAACGAATCTTGGAATGTGACAATCAAACTCAACTTTACCTTATTTTTGACAGTACGAAGTCGAACCTAGGAACCTGTCCATCGTTCATGATGAAACTTCTCAGGCGGTAACGAGACATTTTACATTGGGAACCAATTGTAGATTTCATCTTGAAGTTTCCTGTGTATAAGAGATAATTTTTATTTATTGAAGTTTGCATAGATTGTTATTCAACTATCTGGGAAATTATTTCCGTACCTAGCATGGTAACCAAAGCATCCTCCCCACACCCACACACACACAAAAAAAAAAAAAAAGAATTCAACCCTATGTTCGGCAATCCTTTTCTAAGTCGGAAATTGTTGATTGACAACATCTTTAAATATCCTGTGGATTGTAAAACATTGTTATATTTATGGTTCACTCCAAACAAGGCATTGTAAAAGCAAATCACACAAACTGTTTTGACTGATAAAAATTAAACTTTTGTTTCATTAGAATTTATCCAATGCTTATACTTGGAGATGCCAATATGTAAGGCCATTTTAGTGGCCAGAAATGAAAGAAAAAACACTCTATTTCACTGATAAAGCAGTTGCTTTAATCGGCTGGAGCTTTTTACTGAGATTTGAAGTCAGAATCAGATTCAAAATGGCATTGTTGATAACACTGTACATAAAACGCATGCTATAGTCTTATAGTAGATTTGGTGTCCCCACGGTAGTGGTGTTTTATGTAATTTTATTTTAAATAAATGCTGAAGCGGGTAAAGCATGGGACCGCCAAGCCATTGAGTGGGGCCTTTACCAACACATAGATTTTCCACATCAACATAAAATTCCAATCTGACAGATTACATTTCATGAAAGGAGAAAAAATACATAATGATTTTTGCTCTTGTTGCTGCCAATTTTCTAATCCATTCTGGAAAAACTTTTGTGTGTGGCCCAGCTAGATGTCTGAAGTTGGTTATATGGCCCACTGACATAAAATATTGCCCACCTCTGGGGTTAAGTGTTGTGTTGGACCTAATTATATTGAAACCTCAAAGTTCAAACCTCAAGCCCAACACCTCACCCTGGGTGTAATAAATTGAACCGACAACAATAAACGTAAAGATTTCAATCATTAAAAAATATAGAATCTCCTAACATGTCAGTGAATGCTTGTACAGAGCCTTGTTCAGAGTGAAAGGCATAAATTAATTTGGAATGAATGGCTTACTAAGGATATACTCAATATGTAATATTAAAAGAACATCTCTAAACGAGCGAAGTCTCAAAGTGGAAACTGAATCTTGGAATCTGACAATTCAACTCAACTTTACCTTATTTTTGACAGTACGAAGTCCAACCAAGGAAACCTGTCCATCGTTCATGATGAAACTTCTCAGGTAGTAACGAGACATTTTACATTGGAAACCAGTTGTAGATTTCATCTTGAAGTTTCCTGTTTATAAAAAATGATTTTTTTAATTTATTATGTTTGCTCAGATGGCCAACAACTAAGATATATTGGGCTACTCTTACAAGTAAGGATGCACAGTGGGTTTGTAAAATGCCAGTCAAGCATGACCCTCGGCCATTGTGAAAATAAATCGCAGTGATTAAGGAATGCTAAAAAATTTCCAAACGTATTCCCATCCTCGCTGTTAGTCTCACACAAAATTTCTCATTGAGGGAGAAACGGGAAAATTTAGCCACATACTAACTACAAAGCAATGGAGTGTGGCTGGCCAGAATATTTTTATCAATATCAAAAGATAATAATGCTGCTTCACTATCACCAAAGGCCAAACTGAATTCAAAAAAGAAAATAAAACATGATCGGTGTCCAATTGAATTGCAAACCCTATCCCATTAACAGAATGTTACATCGCTGTGCTTATTCTACAGATACTATGAAGAACGGTTGAATGTGAACTCGTTTACACTCTATAAAACTGCCATTGCTCACGGCTTCTGTCATATTTAGAGCAAATAAGCTTTTATTAATAATTGTTCTGAAGATAAATAGCAAAATGTGGATCAATAACATAACCTAAACAAAATGAAAGAAATATCCCTGATTTTAGGTAACTCGGTAGTTATGAGCAATTGCTTGTATGAAGCCTTGTTCAATGATGTAACCAAGATCAGAGGGGGAATAGTAGATTATTCAATTTTGGCCTCAATTGATGAAATACTTCACAGCCAACACAACGAACTTATACAAGCCAGTTCAAACCGGTTTCAGCAAGATACCAAATTATCATCTCACGTCACCTTTTAGTCAATTATTTACTAGATTTAAAATACAGCTTCAACAGGCAAACTGGTAGCAGCTGATGTATAATATTTAATTAGCAAACACCAATTTATGATGGTTAGCTAGAATAGTCAACTTCCACAAATCGCTATCATTCACTATAAAAAGAGAAAAAAGCCAGTAAGATGGCTCAACTATAATCTAAATCAGCAACCCGGCCTGCCAAGCCATTTAGTGTGGGCCTTGTCAGCACTCAAATATTTCCCCATCAAGCATGAAATCCTAATCTGACAGTTTACGTTTAAAAATTCACTCACATGGATAAAAATATGTAATGTTTTTCGCATTTGGCGCTGTTTTAAGTTTTTCGCCGCTTTGCCTGGTGCCTTTATAACTGTAATGCTAAGCAATAGCTGCATTCCACATTTTTGTATGGCCCAGCTAGATGTCTGGTTAAATGGTCCACAGACAAAAAATGTTGCACATCCCTCATCTACATCATGGCCTCCTGTTCACTCAATCTAGATCAGGGGTTCCCAAACCGATGGCCATACGATTTAAAATGGCCCGCCGAGGTTAAGTGTAATAGTTTTAACATCAACTGCAAATAAATACTAATACGTTGAACACTTTGTGTGTTTACCTTTTTGATTTCTAGATGCAGCCAATTGTTACATCATTATCACAGTTTAAGCTCGTGTATATTCGTACCAATTCCGGTATCTTATGTTTACATACCCAGCCCTATATTGAGAAAGTTTGAAGCGTTCAAAAAAAAAAGAAAACTAGACACTGAAAACAGAAGTTTTTTTAGAAAAATGGCAGTTTTTTATTTCTTTATTGAAAAAAATCAAACTTCAGCGATTTGTCTTTCCTGTCAACAGACTATTCCAGTTTTGAAAGAATACAACATTAAGCGCCATTATGAAGCATTTTTCAAATTATGATCAGTTGACGCTTGAATTTCAAAATTTAATTCGTTGTTAAATCCATACAATATTCAAACAAACATGTTCAAAAAAATGTCAAATGAAATTATTGGTCAGTTATATTGTAGACCACAACATCACTAAAAAGATCCGCCCGTTTGATGAAGGTGAATTTTTCCGCAAATGTATGCTGCAAGATTTGGAAGTCATTTCTCCTGATATAAAAAGTAAATTTTCCAGCATCAGACTTTCTAACAACATAACTACGAACCTTAACAAATCAAAACTTTGGTCCAGACTGACAGATAACATGAATGCGCTATTGCCAATACAATGTACCAAATTGGAGCCACATTTTGAAGATCTGATTTTGAGCCAACTGTAATTACATGTACGGTATATACAAAATACACAACTTCATTATGTTGGAATTTCGCTTTTTTAAATATATATACATAGGGATGTTTTTTGTGTAACAAAACAAGTCTTAATTAGTAGCATTTATACAAAGCCATATGCGAGATGAATCAGTTGCAATATCCTTGTTGAAAGTGGTGTGTGCTATTCCTCGGGTATTCTATCACCTAACTATTATTAATTTTATTACATAATAAACTGCGATGCTGTGTGATCTAAAATCGAGCTTGTAACTTATTTTAGTAACTATTTTAGACACACAAAATGTCAGACAAACATGACTCTGCCACATAAATATCGCTGTGATGGGCCATAAAATTTTTTTTAAACAGTATTCCTATCCTGGAGCATAACATAAGACTTTTTTTTGATGGCTATAAATTGGAAATTGATGAACCATGGTGGGTTGGAGGTGACTAAACATTTAAAAAAAAAACTTGATAAAAACTTTGTCATATGGCTTGAATTGACTAATATTACTGTACAGCAGTGGTTCATAACCTTCTTGCATATTTTACCCCTTCATCACACGAGATTTACCCCCAATACAGCCATTGGTGATCCCTTATTAAAATTTGTTGACCAAAGGATAAAAGGGCTGTAGATGCGAAGTCTAAGTTGATGATGATGATGACTGATCTAGGGAGATGCAAAAATAGTCATTCGTGGCTGAAATTGACGAAATAGCAGGTTAAATCTCATTAGCCAAGGCCCACAAAAATAACAAAAGCATTCACCTCTATGTTGCGCAATCCATCCTGATAAAACTCTTCTCTGGTGGTTTGAGATTTTCTAATTCAGGTAACAAAATTGTTGATTGACAACATCTTCAAATTTCCTGTGGATAGAAAAACAACATTATATTTATAGTTCATTTTGACCCAGATCAATCACCACATCAATCAACAAAACAAGTTAGAAGTAGCAAATTATATGAGGCAGTTCTGTCTGTAAAGATTTTACTTTGTCTATTATGACTTAAACAATATTATATGCAAAGATGTTCAAATGACATATTTATACAGAGAGAAAACAGTGACTGACCTCTGGGTCGTTTGTTACTCTAGTTATAGCTATATAGGCTATACAATACAAGAAAGGGCGTTCCAGAAGTGCGTGTACTAATATGGAAGTAACTAATTTGTTCGTCTACTTTCTACAAGTTGTGTAAAGCACTGGTTCCCAACCTTTCTACACTGGCGGACCGGTAAAATTAAATTAAATGTACTCGGACCGGCAAAAAATTGAAATGACCGGAAAATAAAAGAATAACATATATTTGCGTAATACAATGCAATGTCGGGCACTCAATATGCATCTAGAGATTATAGACAAAAAAGGCACACTTAAAAACAACTCACACGAAGAAAAACTATCAAATAATGTGCCAACCAAAAATATTTGCGTAATGAAATGCAGTGCTGGGCACCCATTATGCGTAAGAAAGGCACACATAAAACATCTCACATAAAAAACATGTACATGTCAAATCATGTACAAACGCAAATACCCCTAGTGAATATTTTGCTGCTGTTTAGTTTCCACTATAGGATTGCAAACGATGCCTCAGGGAAGTTTCTGCAACACGTAGCCCTGCAGCGGCGTGCAGCCAATTTCCTTGCTACGCTTTAATTAAAGTTAGTATTTTTTTTAAAATCTGGATTGTAACGTAGAATCACAATTTGAATCAAGCTTTTTCATTGGGTTTATCATATTAATCCTCTGCAGTTAATCGATGCTCCAAACGGAATGAATTTACATTACAATGACAAAGTCGTCGCTAACTTGGCACCAGGCTCAAAATCCTACTTTGTCTGCTCAAGATACTGGAAAAGATCCCACCGGCCCATGCTTCTTTGCGCTCGTCGTGACCACCTGCCATATTTTACTGGAGTATTTTACTTTTCTTGACTGTTTTGAACAAAGAAATATGCATAACGTTTCATTTGGATGGTCATATTAATCAGGAAAAGCATGCAGAACAAAAATAGCAAGCATGCCAATTTTCAGGTTTTTGAATCTTGCGAGATTTGATGGAGCGTATTCACGATGAATCGGAGCCGAAAAAGCAAAAAGTGTGATTACTTGGCGCCAAGATGTCGCGAAAGACGTCGCAATATGATGGCGGAAGAGAAATTGCGTAACAAATCGACCTCGTCTTCGGTAAAGAGATCGGAGCGCATTCGAGATGAATCGGAGCCTAAAAAGCAAAAAGTATGATTACTCGGCACCAAGATGTCGCAATATGACGGCGAAAGAGAAATTGCGTAATAAACCAACGCGACCTCGTCCTCGGTAAAGCGATTTAGACGGCATAAAAACAACAAAACACCGAAATTTTCTCGCGGACCGGTGGTTGGGAACCAATGGTGTAAAGGGACTGAAACCTATGGGCAGGGGTTATATATTCACTTGGCTAACACAGACAGTCTGTGAAGGAATAGTACTAAATTAGAAAAATCGCAATAGAATTATGGTCTAACCCTAACCTGGTACACACACTACAGGAGTAGCCTGTCTAAATGGGAGGCAAATTTGTTTTTTGTATAATGATGTAATACGATGCTTACTGGTGCCTTTTGCTCCAACAAAGCATGATAAAAGTAGTCACTGATATCTAACAATATCTTGAAGATTCACTGTCGAAGTTATCCAAGTACGGTAATCGCATTTTCATCTATCTCGTTTATTCTATTTCATGAAAGGATATTTGATAGCAAGCCAGAAAAAGTCTGGTATTCAGTAAAGCATTTAGGAATAGAGCAAAATGGTTTTGAAAAAGGACCACCCCCGGTAATGAATTCCTTACTGCAGATGGAGCAAGATTGCATTTAAACAAAATTTCAAATTTGTTAAATTGGTCTGGTTCATAAAATAATGATATGTGTACATAGCAAACAGAGCAATGACTATTTTGTATTCTGCTGATGGGTGCCATGAGTCGTAAGTATTTGCCATGTTTACTTAAGTTGAGACATATTTACACTGCGGCTGATGTCTTATTGCTGGGATCCCAGTAACACCACTGATTGAATATTAAAATCAAACAAATCTTCCATTAAAAAAAAATATTAGGAATTTCAATTACTGAGGCAATTGATATTCCACACAAGTAATAAATCTAGAGAACATTCATAGATATCCATATTCAGATACTTCAATATTTGAAAAAATTTTCTTGTAATTCTTAAAATTTGTGTATGGGAAATTAATTTCCTTAATTACAATCGAACATATTGTGAGGTCAGATTCCCCCTCATAAGTCATAATTATAAAAGCACTGATTGCAGTTGCACATACATAAAAAATACGGTGCTCACGAAGTATGTGTACCAGGATGGTGCACAACCTGAACATAGTATGTGTACCAGGTTAGGGTTCAGGTTGTGCGGCATCTTCCGGAGCGTCGAAATTACTGCCAAAAAAATTGACGTTTGTGAAAGTGGATTTTCTGCTCTCGTTCATACTAAATCCAAGGCTCGTAAGTCGTAACCAACTAAACGTCGAAGAAACTGGTAGGTCATACGATATATATCTATCGTTATTAAAAACACAACGTATTTCAAGACTTGCTTCTGATATGCATCAGCAGAAATCCCATTAAGTGTATTCGATTTGACAAAGTAAATGAAAATATCATTTGTTTGGCATTATTTTTGACTTAAATCTGTATGGAACATTAGGTTGCTGTTTAGGCTATAAACTAAATTTCAAATAAAAAACTTCTGAGGGGTCGTGACCGCTTTGAGATCACCCAGAAGGGCCCGCAAAGACAAAAAGGTTGAGAACCACTGCTTAAGCAAAGATGCTGAAATGACATATTTATGACCATTACCTCCTGTGTTTGTTATTATTCCAGTTATTATAGCCAGCCTGAAATTTTTGTAGGACAAGCTAATTTCGCTTCATCCAAACCTTATACAAACAGACACTGATATCTAACAGTATTCAAGAACCTACTATTATTTGAAGGGACCGGAATTACCGTATTTGCTCGTTTTAAAGCCCGGGCCCAAATTTTTTCAACCAAACTTACTAACCGGGCCCTTATTCAAGCACGGGCGCTTGTTATTTTTAAAGTAAAATTATACACAAAAATTACGGTATCCGCAAAAGAAGAAAAGTTTTGCAATGCCCTATCAATATTTAAACGATGCACTATGAGAACCAAGGTGTTACGTAATCAATGCTATCTGTTATGTACTTGGACGCCTAAGGCGTGAGTGTTATCTATTCAACAGCGTTGTGACAAAAGCGCTTCTTATTTCCTATTGTTCTCTACCACTGAAAAATCAGCTTTTACATCGGGTGCGTATTCAAGCACCGACCCATATTTATTTTTATGTTCTGTTCACATGGGCGGCTATTCAAACGGGCCCTTAATCAAGATCGGGCAATAAAACGAGCAGATACGTTATTTCAGGTCAACAATGCCTGCTTAATATCTCCTGGGTGAGGCGGGGGAAGTTGAACCTGAGATGTGTAACCAGCAATGCCAATACATTCAAGTCCATTGCTCAATCGTCTAAAGAAATTCATGTCGACACTGTTGGGGAAATAATTATGTAGAAAAGCATTTCATTAATGTAAGTTTTGGAAGACATTATAGCAGGAAAAATGGAATTGACGAGCAACTGAGAGTTTTTCTTTCATTAAGATGGTTTGCACAAACTGTCACTGTATGTAGGTACTGAAACTGCAAACAAGTGCAGTTATTCAAATTAACACTGGGTTTCATTGTTTCTTTCATAATAAATATCATTATATCTATTGCAAGAAAGAAGAAAAATATTCAAAACTTACTCTGTTCATTTCCTGGTATGTTCAGGTAATCCCAGTAGGCGAGTATGCGGTATATCCAGACATGTTCCATAACTTTGAAAGTCAAAATCCCAAAGCAGAAATATGGTTTGAAAAATATTGCCTACAATAATCTACGGCTAAAATTACATGAAAAACAATGATTAGTCAAGCTCAGCAGAAATAAAAGAAATGTATTGGACATACTAATTAATACAAATTATACAGGCAGCATGAAAAGGAATCACTAAAAAATAAGCAAACTTTAGCGAAATTAAAAACTTTTGAGCCCTGGCTATGGTCAATGACTAGGCACAAATTGAATTCTAATGAAAATGATTAAAAAAATAACGACATACAGAATATATAATTACTGACACTATATATTAAAATACTGTGCACCATTAATTGCATAGAAATTACAAAATACATTTAATAAAAAAAGTTGAAGATTTTAAATATACAAATAGATTGAAAATATCACAGTAATTACGGTAAGTATATATGAAACTTGAAGAACTTTGAGAGTATATATCAAGCAGCTGTTCTATTAAAAAAGCAGTGTATACAGTCAAAACATATCCAATAGGAGGCTACAAATAGATTCAATTATTCAGCGATTCCAACTAGTTTATAGAATATAATCAAGAGATTCAAATTTTAATTAATCCAAAACTTCTGACATCGTACTTTGGAAATATCATTGAGCATTCCAGAAGTGTGTGTACCAATATGGAGGTAATTACCGGTAATTTTGTTCGCCGACTTTACAACAAGTTGTGTAGAGGGACTGAAACCTATGGGCAGCGGGATATTCACTTGGCTAACACAGACAGTAGTCAAACTCGTAATGGAACTAAAATAAGGAAAATCGGAATAAAATTATGACCTAACCCTAACCTGGTACACACACTATGGGAGTGCTTATCTTAGGGTGGAGATCAAAAACCTCACTTAACTTAAACCTAGATTAAGACTAATCTCGGATTAGTTAAACTCGGTTTAACTTCGAAAGTTAACCGGAGATCAAAAACCTAGTTTAGCGGTTACTTAACTAATCCTAGTTTAAGTCGGACGCCACGAGGCATTTCACCGAAACGTCGTGGCATGTTGCTCTTTGACCCTGTATTTCCATGGTGATGGCTTCGTGAAATGTCGTCTGCGACCCAAAGAGGTTATATAGTCGCTTTGCTACAGCTGAAGAGAGCCGATTAAGGGAGTGTTTTTTTCAGCTACAGAACAGATCGCGCTAAAATAGGTATAAAGAAGGTCTGTACTTCAGGCAGGCGCGATCCTAAAACCTGTAAGACATGCAAACCTGCGTTTAAATATAAACGATATAAAATCGCCCATGAATGTTACTTTCTCTATTGCATTATTTTTACTAATTCAGTTTAGTAATGTTTTTTCACTTGTGTGAGTGAACAGGCACAAGCCTTTTTCTCGTGGTCCATGTCGGTGTTTCTTTTATTTTTATTCATGTTCTGTGTTGTAGACGTAAGAGCAAAATAAAATTATAATTGTACAAAATGGACGTAATTGATATTTTGGAAATGATAGACAGTGAGGAATTAGGCGAGGAGAGACAAGTGATTTCAAGGTCATATTTGAGAGGACGTACAAGACCCATTCCAATTACTCAACGAGAATGGAGTTTACACAACGGTACAGGTTTTCGAAAGACAGCGTGCTTATTTTTACTCGATATTATAAAAAATGATACTGGAATGGTTGTCCGCAAGCATTCCCTCCCACCAATTCTTCAACTTCTCACCGCACTGCGTTTTTTCGCTTGTGGTCATTTTCAGATGACAGATGGCGACCTGATGGGAATGAGTCGACATACTGCTCGGAGATCTATCCATAGAGTTGCGACTTGTTTTGCCAAGCAGAACGTAAATTATTGATTTTTTGGGTCAAGATCTTTCCAAAGTTAAGCAAAATTTTTTCAATGTGGCTGGCTTTCCATCTGTCATTGGGGCGATTGACTGCACGCACGTGTCAATTCAGTCGCCAGGGGGTGAAGATGCAGAGGTGTTTTCGTAACAGAAAAGGGTATTTTCCATAATGTACAGGCGATTTGCGATTGCCAACCGAGTGATTACTAATATTGTGGCAAGATGGCCTGGATCCACTCATGACTCTAGGATTTTTGCCAACAGCATCATCCACGATAAATTAGAGAGAAATGAAGTTGATGGATATTTGTTGGGGGATAATGGCTACCCTTGTAAACCATATTTGTTTACCCCTCTCCTAAACCCTACAAGTGGCAAAGAAAATCGCTTACAACAAGGCGCACATCCACACCAGAGCTAGGATTGAGCAGTGTTTCGGTATTCTGAAACAAAGATTTAGAGTCTTGCAGAGTAAAATGAGGACAAGGCTGGACAACACCCTAACCATTATAGTGGCAGTTGCTTGCTTGCATAATTTTGCCATGAAAACAAATCAGCCATTAGAACACGATCTTGCCATAGCTACAAGCGATGACACAGAACCAGTCAACAAATACTGTCTTCCCAAGCAGGTCATCTTGCACGTGGCAAACATTATTGACCAATACTTTTGATCTGTAGCTAGCTTAGCTTATAATAGGTAACATAAAAGGTGTTTCAAAAGTAAGTATACATTTTTTATTTCGATTTTCTTTTTAGGTACTCCTCATAGAGCGTTCATTTCATCAGTAAAACATAGTTATGGATAAGTAGTAAATTTAGGGTATTGTTTGCATATTTATCAACACACAGAATGACAAATACGGTAGATTAACCGAAGGATTGAGGTGCAAACCTGCTGTTTGGCATATAAATCAGTTAGGCAAACTCAGCACCTCTTCAGCGAAGAATTTAGAAATAAATTCGGCTCAGAATGTTTTCCTCGGAGCGTCCACTCCTTGGTCTTCCTGATCTTTGTGCATCAACTACAATCCAGTTTTCATAAATTTACAACAAATCGCATAAAATATTTGTGTTGAAGGAGATCAATATTCCAAATTATCTGTTGAAGAGGCGCCGACTACGAATTACTAATTTATATGCTTCTTGCAAAACAGCAATTTTGAACCTCATTTCTTGGGTTAGTCTCCTTGTTGTAATTCCGTGGGTTAATAAATGCAAACAATACCTGTATTTTTCTACTTATCCATACTATGTTTCGTGAAGGAATCAACGCTCTATGAGGTGTACCTGAAAAGCAAATCAAAATTGAAAGTTTATACTTATTTTTAAGATACCCTATTTTCATTGTGTACATGGTGTTGTTTTTAGTTATCCAACCAGTTTGCACGTTCTCAGTCATGTTTATTAAATATTTTGTCAAGTTTGTTCTGTTTACCAGCTTTTTTTCTACATTATGATTTCTTTCGTAATTTCCGAGGTATAGTTCAAGTCGATTTCACAATTTAGCCCCATATGTAATTGCGCAGCAAGCACTTCAAAATCAGATTATGTCACTATAGCATGTCAAAAGCAAACCTTAAACACATCAATATTTGGGGCCAGTTGTATCTTAATCAGTAATACCTATGTCGCAGAAACGCGACATCTATTGGGGTCCTGCAACGGTCCCTACCTTAATATTGATGACAGTTTAGATTATGACGAGAAGCCGAAACACTGTGGGATCCAAATTCATAAAAACTTAGAAGGACGCAAAGTATGGGAAAACATATATCTCAGTACATCCACCAAAATAATTAACAATCTTGTATCAATCTTGTTTTAATTAACCATTTTGCAACAAAAACAAATAAAACAATAAAATCCTTCATTCTAACTTAGCTATTTTTTTACGGTAATACTCCATTTTTATATCATGCTCTTCCCTTCTCATTTTCCTCTCCTCCGCCATTGCCTCCAACTTCTCTGTCAACACCCTTCTTCTCAAATCATCCATTGTGCTGCTACACTGTCTATCTAGATATAATGTTATGTTGCTACAACTAATATTTGCTGCCATTACGTGATATAAAAACTAAAAAACTGCTTTCAATTTTAATGCCTACCTGCCTTTAGGTCTGTACTAATATTCACAATAACAAAAGCTCAAATTAAATACTGCTTAAATTTTAAATACTACCGCTGTTCTGTTTATCTGAGTACATTGTAAAGTTGCTACTGCTGCGCTACTTAATCATGGGGTGATTTTGAAACATACATTGCAAAGCCGTGAACCTCCTAAACATGTGAATAAACTATAGACAAGATCTGAACAAACAGCGATAGCCTGTTGTGGGAATATGTTTTGAATCTGGATAGCAATTATCACTAGATTACCTGTACTCAATGTCTGCAAAACTGCTGATTCGTTACCTGAAAAACAGAAATCGAATTAAATACATTTCAATGTACTAGACCTCAAACTGTTAGTCAACCGTCAAAATTCAGTACCAAAAATCGCTTCTGCAATGAGACATGATATGAGTGCTCCATGAGTAAAGCTTTAAGTTATAAGTAGCAAGAGCAAGTTTCTCATTCATGCAGATATTGATTGAATGACCCACAAGTCTTCGTTTCATAATAAAAATTTTAACCCATTCATAAAAAAGGTTTGCCATCATAGTTCATTACACTTTGTCAAATCCAGCTTTGTCTGATATGGAGTGTCTGAGTAATCTTTTTTAATTGAACTTACCATCTGAGAAAGATGAAGATTCCTCAGCTACTGAAACAAGTGTGTCTGAAAAAAATGGGAATTCTGATCACACCATGTCATCAGTTAAACTGCAGATAGTGATGAAACAAATGAAGAATTAGTTTTAGGCGATGAATATATGTGTATTGCATGTATTATTACAAAATGATTTTATATCTGCTCATTAAGATTCCATTACATTTGCACCCACAGACATTTACACCCGTAATTTGAACCCACGACAATTCAGCTGCATACTATTGCACTTATGGAAATTAGTTTCTTTTACGGATATTTGAACTCATACTAACCCTAACCCATGGGTTATAGCACCCGCATATAGATTGAACTTGTGGATTTACGGGTGCAAATGTACGGTCACCGCTCATTAATATTGTAAAAGGCTGGTTGATAAAATTATGAATACCAGTATTATTAAATTTATGTGAAAGCTATAAATACCGAATCCTCTGTAATAAGTCGTTAAATTTGCACACGTACGCGAAATACATTTCATGAATACAGGAGAAGAAAGCAAAACTGGTATTTCTGGGTTAGAAGAAGCATGAAAAACCACTATATTGTGGTGCCACATCACTTTAATGCCACCAATTACAAGCAGTAAATGCTGTTAATAACATACATGTTTGTTCTTCGAGCGAGCTTTCAATTTGATTGTCATCATCGAAGTTGTTCGCAAGGCAATTTATTTGTCTAGGAATGAGAGCTGAAAAAAAAAGGTGAAAATTAACATTTCAATACCAAATAGAGACAATTACTACGATTATTTACATATCCTAAATAATCAGTATGTGAATTCCATAATATGTATTCATAATAACACACTTCATATGTTGCATCACTTTGCGTACGCCATATTTGGAACACACCTACAGCAAATAACATACCCTCAACTTTCTCGCTGAGTTCATCGGTGGGTACACCAGGCCCACCTCCTGTCTGCCTCAAATGGCGTTTGCGTTGGGCATTGTCTTGCTTTGCTTTGTTTTTGATGTTTTTCCACGCATCCTTCAGATTTTTTTCAGTTCGGCGACACAAGGTGCCAGTTGCATTGAATTTGGCTTCGATTTGCTTCCAAGCCAAATTCTTTTGCACAACTGACACCTTGTCCGTTCTTTTTGACTCCACTTGGGGATGTTCGCTAATTATCTGGACAAGGAGCTGCTTTTCGCTATTGACAAAATTCGCTGACCTAGCCATTACTTTACTGCTTTATGGATAAATTATCGATTATTAGACACTGTAATGAATACAGGAATAAGAATATTATTTTCTGTATTTTGATAAACTATACCGGTACTGGTACAACTGTACAACCTAAGCCAAAATGAATCTTCAAAAAAACTGCTACAAAAATAAAGAAACACAATAGGCTACTTATACAAATACAAAAATATATTAATACGCCAAGAACGGTACCGTACCGAACGTCGTCTATTTACCTACCTTACTGGTTTTGTTATAGTAGTATAGCCCAATTCCACGTTGTAAAAAATTTTGTTCGGCTATAGTACAGTACCGGTACCAGTACAGCCGCAGTCTACAGCAGTTACGGTACCGGTACCACCGCAAATGCTGCATATCGCAGCCTCGAAGTACCAATATACAATTATTTTTTCGTCGTGACGCTTGCACAGAGTTCCCTGCTACACATTCTGTCGCCACTGAATACAATATAGATTGTACGGTAAGGTAAGCCATCCAACACGACAAGCGCCGCAATCCAAAAGCACTCGACAAACCGAGTTAAACCACCTCCAGACCAGGTTTAAATAAGCGCCGATTTTAAGTCGAGATTTACGTCACAGAAAGTTAAACCACCTTTTTGATCCGGACTTAAACCGCCGATTCAAAGTTAAACTCCGATTCGAGGTTAAACTACCTTTTTGATCTCCACCCTTAAAGTTGAAAACAAGAAATGATTCAGTCAGTCAGTTTGCTGAGTTGCCACTAACAATAAGGAACATGAGCTATCAATTCAAATTATTAAGCAAGGTGAGGACTAGCGCAGGGATGTGCAAAGTGCAGCCCACGAGGGAAAATTGTGCGGCCCGCGGAGAAGTGCTAATTTTAAATGGTGTGAGGCCAGCTAAACTAGTTTTTATTTCAGTTTGGTCTGGTTCCCTTTGCGTTGCAAAGCTTATATTCGAGGGCGTTACAACATCCTAACAGCGAACCGAACAAAGCGATTCACAAAGCTGTCACTTGCCGAGCAGCGAACAATTGAAAGGAAAATGCGGAGCAGACGCTAATGAATTTGAAAGAACGGGCAATTGTAAACTAGGCAACTGGAAAGCAGTTTGATGGAATTTAATATTGAGAGATACAAAAGCTAAATGAGTTTTGGTTCCAGCCTATCAGTTGATTTTGTTTAAATATAATCTAGAATAGGATTTGATAGCAATGTATTTGGAAATGAATCTTGGCGTATTATACCAAAAAATCTCAACTAAGATAACTTTCCACATTTGGAAAAAGTAATGGCTTCAAATATGGCACTTTTCGGTTACATATTTTTTTCTAAAATGGCCGTCATATCGTATTGCTAGCACTTGCATTTAAGCAAATTTGGATAAAAGTAGTCGGGAAAAGAATCCAGTAGCAAATTTCTCACTGAATTCGTTTAAATTGGGTGTTACAATATATTCGAATTACAGTTTAAAGCAGTGTTTCCTGCAAGGACCCCTAATGATGACGACACGATATCAATATCAAAAAGACACTATTTTGTGCCTGCAACTAATAGAAAGCCTATGTTATTATGTTAAATGAAGGTGCGGCCCGCGGTTTTACCCAGTTATTGATATTTGGCCCGCCTGCGAAAAAGGTTGCACACCCCTGGCCTAGCGGCTGAAGTGACTTAACTGTATTTGCATCACAACATCTTGGATTCAAATGCCCAAAACCTTATTCAGGATGTAATAAATTGGATAGACAATACCGAAAACAAATAAACAGCCATTCACATATCCATAGATTTAAGTCAATGCCTGTACTGCAGTGATTCTCAACCTTTTACTGATTGCATACCACTTTTGTGATGTTAATCTGGCCGCGTACCAACACCAACAAAACCCTCTTTTGTGGCGGGGAACAATGATCCCCGAAAAACACGCTACTCTAGTAGTATTCTATGTGGCACTGCATTTTCAGACCTTCGTGCAAAGTTTCACCATATTGATTATATGCAGTAACAACACATTAATTGCGGGCAAAATAGCATGAGAATTTGTGTCGTCTACAGTCAGAGCTGAAAACCTTTAATTATCGCCACTACTAAATTATCGCAGAACTCGGACGAATATACTTTGGCCGGTGTTATCCGCTATCACAAACTGCCTAATCTAGTCTCCAAATTATTGAGCCTCAAAACACATAATCAGGTAGCAATAGTATCATCATTATGATATATCAAGATGCTATCAGGATATCTCGAACGCGTCGAACGTTCTCTTCGTTGCCGTTGCATTGTGATCGTAACACCGACAACTTGACCGCCTCGTTTCCTTTTAGGTGGGCAGTAGCGAGCGAAGGTGATTTATAAATACATGGACTGGTAACCCTGTAAACCCGTTCAGTGAATACATTTACTATTGAAGATAAAAAGAAAGCATTTCCGCCATATTTTAGCCAACTCAAAGATTAATTGTTGCAATAATTCAAAGCTGCTAGCGTACCATTTGAAAAGCTCCCTTGTACCACTAGTGGTAGGTTGAGAACCACTGCTGTACAGAACTTGTTAGAGCAAAAAGATTGAGTGAGCATTGTGTAAACAGTTGCAAAGTCGAACTGTGAACATAATATCGACATTTATCCAAGTTAAATTCAAAACACAGTATTAAATCAAATATTCGGATTTTCTATTCGGAATCCCCTTGATCCGCACACTGTCTTTGCTTTGGAACAAAATTTCGTGGTTTCCGTAGTGAGAACCGTCATCTGTGATTTATCCAGTATTTGATCATGGAAAAAGAGATTTTCCACTCTCTGAACCAATCTTGAAATATTCTTCAGTTCATCATCGGTGAGAGATTCTGTACTTGGTTTTTCTAGCCATAAGTTGTTTAATTTGACATTTTCTCTTTCCAAACTTGTGCAAAAAGCTGATAACTGCTCACTTGTTGGAGTGCAACATTCTGCATGCAGACTATTTACCTCAGTATTTTTCAGTAACTTAGCCAGTCGCTGAAATGCTTCTGCATTCATGTTAGAATTCCCACTAGTGTTCAATGAATCCAACTTGACACCATATTCGAGGACTGCTTGATTCATTTTAGTTATTTTCTCTGCATTCAGGTCACAGCTATACAGGTGAAGCCATTTCGCACCACCATGATGAACCAACCCTATCAGATAATAATATCCAAGGGGCTCCAGTGCTGAACTTTCTCTTATAAGAAGCCCCACCTCAATCCTAAAATTCACTTTCGCCACGGTTTCATTCAGGATTCGCAGTTTCTCCGCATCAGGATGACAGTTGCTAAGTTCGAGAAATGAGACATGAAAAAATAGCAAGGAACCAAGAACACGTTGTAGAGAAGAATAATTTTCCGGACGTAATGCCAAGAAGCAAAATGACAAAAAAAGAAAATCAATATTCTCTCCAACAGACAAAACTGTGTGAGGTTCTACAGATACCTTTTTAAAATTCATTGCTATTATTTGTGAGCAAACTTTCTTAATCACTACAGAGCCACATTCATTTAACAAAGTCACAACTCGGTCATCTGAAATAACTTTTCCTTGCAATAATTTTTCCAAGTGACCCATCAGGTATTCAAACTTGATGTGTAAGTTACCAGAAATATATTTAGCTGCTTTTTCTGAAGTTGATTTGTTGAGAATAATTCCGAAAATATGTTTCATAACGACCTCCATTCCTGATTTCTCATAATTATCCGTAATGAATTTTTTAAATTCATCCATATTAAGAGTGCAGGCATACAAGGAAGCAAGAATCTCTTGTAAAGTCTGATGAGGGAATTTTATTCTAATGTCATCGTCATCCGCAACATCCTCAACAAATCGAGTGTCAGCATCCATCTCAACAAGACCACGCATGTCCTTCATATCTAGGTTGAGTGACTCAACATAGCTTGCTGTGAACACAAATCGATTCTCTATCATTCCATGGAAAGCCAACTTCATGAGTTTCTGTACCAGACGATATACTTCTGCACGAAGAGATCCTGAAAAATGTCTCAGAACAGAAACCATCAGACTTGTTAAAGTGACAAAATCAGTTTCCTTAAAATCTTTCAGCACTCGAACCAGGTAGAAAAAGAACATTGGGTTCGAAACGAGGCCTGGTGCTTTCTGTCTCAGCTCATCAATGATTCTTTTTGCTTCAGGATCAAATAACTTTCCAGCAAGATGATTCAATGTTTCATTATCCCATCCCCCTAGGGCGAGATTTAATGTGGCTTTGAGATCCCGAGGCAACTTCCAATAAACATGCCACCGTGTTGTTGACAAGATCTTCATTCCTGGATAGAGATGGTCAGATAAAATATTGGCAATAATGGTATTCGTTTCTGAAAGTGTTTCAGGTCCAATTCTCGGATATTTATTTTCGAAAGGCTTCTTAATTTGATCCAAGCCATCAACCACAAATAAGATATGTTTTGAATTTTGCTCGAACCATTCTTGTCCAATTTTGTGGAGACGTTTTGGAAGTTTTAATCCAAGTTGTTGGATGAACAGTAGATCAAAAGCGGTCGATCTCTCATCCGATTGTAATTTAGAAACATCTACAAAATAGACCATCTTAATTTCCTCTGAAAATTTCAGTTTCCTCTCCAGCGCTGACAAGGAATATTTCATGGAAAATGTTGTTTTACCAGAACCTGTATCGCCTAGCAACATGACACGATTGACTGAGATATCAGAATGAATCTCTGTAATATCCACTGATTGTAAACTAGTCTGTTTGTTGGGTCCGGATTCCTTGAACTCAGTCACCTTGGGAAATATAAAATATTCCATTTTTGTTTTTTCTTTGACAGATTTCAATCTAGTTTCCAACATCTGCTTCATAGAATTCTCCACGACTTCAAGAAACTGTTTTGCTTCTGAAACTTCAGTTGTTTGAGTTGGTGTTACTTCTGAAACTTCAGCTGAGTCAGGTGGTTTCACAAAAACATCTTTGACTGATTCCAGCATCTGCTTCATAAAATTCTTCATACTTCCACGATATTTTTGATTACTCTTTGTATTCCTATTCGTTTTGACAGATGTTCTAGGTGACGTTGGTTTCTTCAAACTTTTAGATATTTTCGATGTAGATCCCACATTCCATCTTGATTGTTGATTTCCTGCCTGATTTTGCTCTTGGAAAATCTGCTCTTCCTCTACTTCATTTGCATCTTGAACATAAAGCCCAACTACTGCTCTTATTCTTTCTATCACAGCTGCTTCATCAGTATTTGGATATCTGGAATATCTCCATTTCCACAGTAATTTACGATTGCGATCCTGCACTGAGAATCTATTATTTTCTGTGATAGTGTCAACTTCATGCTCAGTAAGAGATAAACCCTGCCCTGATCTTGCAAACTGCTTGAATTCCTCAGGTGTAAATCGTTGATCAATGAGTTGAAACACATCTTCGATTCTTTCATGAGGAACAGCAACTGGTTCTGCTGCATAATATTGGGTAACAAGATTTCTTATTGCTTGCGGAGTTGCATTTGCCCCATGTTTTTCAGCCCAAAGCCAGAGTATTTTCTTCTTCTGTTCTTCAACAGAGAATCTGTGGTTTTCAATGACTGTAGTGACATCTTGAGCACTGAGTGAGAGTCCGTTCCCTGATTGCGCAAATGACACAAAATCTGGAGTTGTGGCAAACTTTTTCACAATATCATTAAATGCGTCTTCCAACCGTCCATCCATTGCTCGCGAGACTTATAATTGGAGATACATGATATATAATATACCGGTATATCGGTACCGGTACTATGTAAAAACTAACAAATAATGAACATTGATGTATATTTAGCAATGATTAATTGATCCATTTGCCACATCATGTGATATACATAATACCGTAATTAAAAAGATAAAAATTTAGCGACTGGTAGACCAGAGACAATGCATAACAACAAGACGTTAAGCTGCATTTGTTTATTTATTATAATTTAACGTGAATCTGTTGGCCACGATCTGACATCTAGGGTGATTAAGACTAATCTCGGATTAGTTAAACTCGATTTAACTTCGAAAGTTAACCGGAGATCAAAAACCTAGTTTAGCGGTTACTTAACTAATCCTGGTTTAAATCTAACGCCTCGAGGCATTACATCAAAACGTCGTGGCATGTTGCTCTTTGACCCCGTATTCCCATGGCGATGACAACGCGAACCCAATGGAGGGTACGGTATTCATTAAGGGCCCGTTCACACTGACGCACAGGTTTGCGTTGCGAACGGAATCCAACGCAATTGCGTTGAGGGTGTTCATACTTCGAATGCGTTAACGCAGCGTGCTACGGTCCACTTGTTACGTAACAATGGCGGGGAAATTTCGTGTCATCTGCGAAATAAATTTAACTATCGAAAACCTAACCAATTATTAATTACCCAAACCCGAAAAATGGAAGTTGCGAAGTTAATAGAGTTGGTTAGGGAGAAGAATTGTTTGTGGGCGGTTGGGGCGGTAGATTACCGGAACAAAATTTTGAAGGAAAAAGCGTGGATAGAGGTTGGCGAGGAAATGGGAATAGGGGGTAAGTTTATCTCGCACTTCGGCGGACTGAGGACAGTCCCTTTAAGTCCAATGCAACCGAAAATAACAGTACCGGTATTCTTGTTTTAACAGTGAAAGAATGCAAGACAAGGTGGAGGTCGTTGAAAGATAGGTTCAGGAGAGAGAAAAGAGAGGAGGCGTTTGAGAGTAGGAGTGGGGCAGGGGGTGGATGTAAAAAAAATGGGAGTTTATGGGTAGCTTAGAGTTTTTAAACTCGTACTGCGAAAGCAGGAGGTGGGGAAAACATTTTTACTCTACCTATACCGTATGTCATTACCACAAAAGCCCTATTTTGATTTTTACAAAGACTGAATAAAACTTCATAAAATATTCCATGTCATACACTCCACTAAGTATACTGATATGTCAATAAAATGAAATGACAATTTCATAGAAACAAAACTCTTTTATTTGAAACAATGTATAACAATAAACTGAAAACTTGCTTTTCCCACCCTGTAATCATCATTGACCTGTGAAAAACAAAGATGCCTTACTAAGTAATGAGTATGAGGTAACATATGGCCCTGTTTAATTTTAGAACATCTAGCAGTGTGCCTGAAGATGTCACCCTCGTTGTATATGAAAACGAAGGTGATATCCAAGATCAGAGGCAAGTGCAAGAGAAGCTGGAAGAGTCTTCTTCCAGCTTTGATATCGATCAGGCCATTCTACGTCTAGTTAACAAAGGTCAGTAGTATTCATATTTATTGCTACTACAAAACTCTGATAGACAAAAAAGTAAAGATATCGATAATTAGAATTATTTGAAATGGACAGTATAATTGCAAGAAAGATACACAAAATGAAGAAACAATAGCTACTCCTCTAAATGTTTTTTCCAGAACAAGATGATGCTGAAATATTTGCCCAATCGCTTGTGCAGACATTTAGACGATTGCCAAATAAAAAATTTCAGCAGGCAAAGATTGAAATTCAAGAAGTTTTGTTTCATCTAGAATTTAATACAGATTAGATACATGCTCAAATATATACTGGTTTGTAGTACTTTTATGTGTTACGAATATTTTTGAATGCTAGATGGGGGGGGGGGGGGGGGTGGCACACAATGACGCAACAAGATATGCAACTTCAACCTCGATATATTATTAATGTTTATTGCGTAATAGTGTATAATGATCTGATCACCTTCAAACTTGGTCATTTTGCCATCCAATAGCTCCTTGGCAACTAAAAAAATCAGTGTACGATTCCCTTGTAGCAATCGCCCGGGATGTTGCACGACCCCCAATCTGTGACAAACTCCTCAGTAAGGTATTGCTGTCAGCTTCTGAGGAAGCTTCCTGCACTCTTTCTGGCTGATTTTCTCCTTTCCTCAAAAAGTTATGGAGGCAACAGGTGGCCTTCACCACCCCATCAGCATTTGTAGGCTGAAGAGGCATTACCCTATGGAATACTCTCCATTGGTTGGAAAGTATTCCGAAAACACTCTCTACCATTCGGCGAGCCCTGACAACCTGTAGTTGTATATTTTCTGTTTTGAGTTCAGGTTGTTCCCACCATATGGTCTCATAATATTTTCCTTCAAAGGGAATGCCTCATCAGCTACAAATACAAATGGGGTGCAGTCTCCATGACTCGTCCTTCCCAATGGCCTGGCAAAACAAAGAATGTCATGAGATGATTTCACATATTAATTTTGTAATGTTACTATGGATTGTAGATCGGACTTATTTCAATGTATTATACTTAGTCATACCCAATGTGTAAAACAAACGGTTAGAAGCAAAACATGCCAAACTTACCTGAATTTCTAAGAATCGCTCCATGCAAACATATATCTTAACTACTTGACAAAAAGGTTCCTGCACATATAACAAACACAAAAGACTCACACACGTTATACAAGGTGGTAACATATGACATACATACTACTGTGATATTAAACAAAATCTAACATGAAGTAAATTTTGGCCAATGTTGAAAATAGGCAATTAGAACATCAAACACAGTACTGTTCACAAGAGCTTACAAAAGTGGTCGGTAATGAGCAAAGTGTTGGAAATAACATTTATTTTGTAAATATTCGACTGTCAGCCTACCTAGGATTAGGAAGATTGAGGGTACCATTGGCCAATCTTCTGCCAAAACAGGAGTCGGCAAATATACCCCCATCACTGCTCCTCCCATACCCTCCAACGTCGACTGCCACAAATTTATAACTGTGAAAAGATAAACATTATGAGCATTTGTCAAGGATTCAAATAAAATCAATAACAAGTCATAATTTGCTTATTCTCACTTTGCATCCACCACAGCCATCAACACAATGCTGTGCGTCTTTTTATAATTAAAAAACATGGATCCCGAATTGTTTGGGGCTTGAATGATGACATGTTTGCCATCAATGGCACCTAAACAATTCGGGAATTGCCACCTCGCTTCAAAGTCATTCCCAATTGTTGTCCATGCAGCTTGGGTGGATGGGCATTGCAAAACCATTGGTTGGAGTGTGTCCCAAATGGCTCTATAAAAGTCAATATATATAAAATTATGACAAAATCAATAAAAACAAAAAAGAACATTTCGATAATCAAGAGAAACGAAATGCCATGATATCAAGATTGGGATTTATCAAAAACAAAAGATCAAAATTATATTTGAAAATCATACCTGCATGTATCTGGTACAATGAGGGAAACGGTGGAAATCCCTAAACGATAACTATTGGCAATGGTCCGATAAGAGTCTCCAGTTGCCAAGAATCTAAAAGTGACAAAATTTATCATATTAATGAAAAAAGTCACAAAATCAAATTGCACAACATAGAATAAAAATAGACGAATTTTAATAAAATCATTAACTTGCCTCAATGTTACAGCCAATCGCTCTGCAGCGGAAATTGGCCTTCTGTACGTCGTCGTTAATTTTTCTATTTTTGGACCAACAATTCCAAGTAACTTGTCAAACTCTTTTGTCGACATTCTAAAATATTCCTTGAAATATGCAGGTCGCTGCAACCGTAATTCCTGTACCAGTGCATGAAATTCACCTGTTTTAGTTCAGAAAAAATTACCAATTTAGCCAAGCTGAATTTGTCGAATATTAACTTAACTCAAAGAAATGGAGAAAATCCTTTTATTACCTGCTTTATTTCACACTTAGTTATACTTTAAATTTTAATAAGAACAGCTGGATTATATCTACGCACATTAGATAAAATACTACAAAAAACAATAAAATTCACACAAACCAATAACACCTAAAGACAGAAAGAGTACACATACCATGACAGATAATAACACAAAAGAACTAGACATCTTCTTGACAAACACATGAAATATTAGCTCACCCCTGTTAAAAAATTTAAAAAAGCAAATTTCTGTCATAATAACATATACATAAAATACAGCAATCGATATACTTATCTGATAATATTCCAGTATCTGTCAACAATTTCCTGAGTGCAACAAATAGACAGACATATTAAAACAATGACATTAACTCATACATATTGATAGGCTATGACAGTCAGACAGTACACAGTATGACAAACTAACAAGCAGACAAACATAGAAAATTTAAATCACTTACCACAGTACCAAATGTCTATTTAGAACATTGCTCCTGTGCCTCTTAGGCAGCATGAATTTGAATAAAAATATGTCACCTTACTTACAAGCTGTTACAATTTTGACAAGCTTGTTCAAAGACTCACCAGCTTCCTCTCGTTTTCTCAAGATGGGGTGCACCCACCATCGCCTTGAATTTCGTGTACCGGTACAGGTATTGTTTTCTCTTTCACGGCGGCGCTTTGCCCATAGCATGATTCCAAGTTTTTGCTGATTTGATAGACTCATGGTACGGTATAAACAAGATTGAATTAATGAAGGATACCGGTATTCTAAAGACAAATCTGAAAAATAAATATCACATGTGAATACACAGCATACCGGTACAGCAGTAGCCTGTACTTTACCTTAAACCTGGGACCTGCCCATTGTCAGACTCTACCGGTAGGCGGTACTCACCGTACGATCCCTTTTAGTTTATGCGCATAATCTAGTCCACTGTACAAAGTAAGTTTACGAACCACGTACGGTACCGAACGGTATCGCCACTCTGGTTGTATGGATAAACTTGTATACATCCAACTGTGCAATGAATACCGGTACCGTACTGTCAACCCATCATCACTCCCGGACATACCGAAGTCATACGACGAAAATGGCGAAAGCACCAAATCAGAATTCAAAAACGGCGGGCAACGCAGCGTCAACGCAAAAAGAATTGTCTTCCAACAACGCACTGCGTTGACGCAATTGCGTTGACGCAATGCGTTAACGCAGCAACGCACGATTAAGTTAAATAAACAAGGTTTTAAGGTGCGTCAACGCAATAGTGTGAACATATGTGAACGGGCCCTAACGCCGCTGAGCGTCGCCATTTTGTTTTTATGTGGGCATGCGCGGGAAAGTACTGTCTTCTGCTTCCCCGCGACGTTGGACTGGTTTGGGCTTTTCGATTGCAATGGCGGCTCGTGCGTCTGGTAGTTCCAAATTGCATTGCTGCGTACCGTTGTGTAATGGCGATAGCCGTTACTCACCAGACTTATCGTTCCACTCTTTCCCCAAAAATGAAAAAAAATGAAGAGTGCGTGGATTCACAGTATTCGTCGCGATCCTGGTAAACATTTTCAAGTAAGTCAGTATTTTGTGGCGTATATTTTTTTCTTCTGGTTTTAATTTTAGTTTTGACCCTGATTTTCTCTTCTCGCTTCTACTTTAGTTATTAGGCTATATCTATGCGGTTGTAGGCTATATGTGAGTGTATTTAAGGTGAGCACAGTCCACGACTTTCTTTTACAGTTTTAGCAACAGTAATTTAACTAATGATTTGGTTTCTACGAGACTAACTACTTATCCTTCTTCCATGCTTTTGTGCCGGTATGCATACAATATACAATGCAAGGTTGCTGTAGCAAGAGTAAAGATAACTATCCCACAGTCCTAAGTGATTCAAGAGTCTTGCAGTGAGTCTTAGTGTGCAGCAAGACTCTTGAATCACTTATTAAATTAATTTAACTTCTGCTCTTTTCAAATCTTAGTTGGGGCTCTTCTGATTCTGTAGACTAATAGACTAAGTGTTTATTTTGTCAATACCGGTATCTTCCTGGTGTACTGATTATGGGAATTAAGCTAAACTTAATAACCTATATTATTATTAGGTGGGCATAAATTGATTCCTTGAAGCCTAGCTTCACTTTAGTTGGTGTTATTTATTCAGTTCGTATCAGCTAGTTTATATTGACTTATTAAAACAGATTACACCAAGCACGCGAGTTTGCGGCAACCATTTCAGACCCGAAGACATTTATGAGACGCCTTCTGGTCGACGCCGTTTGCACCACAACTCAGTTCCATCAAAATTTAGTTGGACAAAGTTAATTGCAGAGAGACCACTGCCAAATAGACTGAGGTAAAACAGAATATATCATTTTTTAAGTTAGACTATACCACCATACTAGTATCAAACCAAAATTTAAAATTAACCAATTTGAAAAATATTTTGACCAAAGTCTAGAATATCTGGGTAGTCCAACATTGTCGGCTCGCGGGCCACAAAATAATTTTTTCCTTGTTCGCGGGCCACAATAGTGCCAAGAATAGATAAACAGTGCAATACAAAACAAACACTTTTTATTGTGCAAACACATAGTCATAAGACATAGCCTGCTCTGGCTAATAGAATCCGCATTCGATTCTTAGTTTTCTATGATGCCTATATTGTTAGCATATATTCTCGACCAAAAAGATAGAAAGCCAAATACTAATTTAGACTACCAAGCACATCATTTAACTTCGATAGTTGCCTCACAGCTAGCCATAACACTAGTCAATTCAGTGCCATTAGAGATGTAACGATATGTAAAAATATCTTTCTGATTAATTTTATAACGAAATGCGATTTTTTATTTCTCTCCGAATGTGATGCGGGCCACAGATAATGAAGCGGCGGGCCTGGGTTTGGACCACCCTGGTCCAGATTCAACTCATTTGGAAAAAATGACTCAAATCTTTTTGTGAGTACACAAACTTTCAGCAACACTGAAACGCGCAAAAATACAATTTTGTTTTTGATTTACACATATACATGCAATGCAGAGGATTCAATACTTGAAGCAGTAATTTGGGTACAATATGACTTTTCACGATATCTGGTTCGTCATATAATTGAGTCGTCTTATCATCCTTCCTTTTCCCAGGATGAATATGTGATTTCTTTGCTAATGAATTTCATTATATTTGTTCAGAACCACTGTACCAAGCAGTCGAACCAGCAGTCTGAGTTTTAATCACACTAATCCTACTCAAGTGGTTCACAACTATTGCATTGTAGTGAAAACAGCTGAAGAAAAACTTGAGCAAGCTTTGAGAGAAATTGAGAATTTAAAAACTCAAGTTTCAAAGCTGTCAATATCTAAATTCGGTATGGAACGTTTCAAGGCGTCAAGCTCCATGATTAAATATTATACTGACTTTAGTTCTTATTGTTTATTGATTGACTTTTTCACATATTGTTGGACTGTGCTTTTAACACTATGGTCTGCTGTAAGCGAAGAAGTTAGTAATGGAAGTAGCGATTTTTTAGACCACCCCTGTAAGAAGCGATCGCTTCCACTGGCTGATGAACTGTTTTTATTTTTGTGTCGTCTGAGACAGGGCTTTGATAAGATCCATCTTAGTGATGTTTTTTGCATATCACAATCCACTGTCTCTCGGATAGTTATCACATGGGCTAGTTTTCTTTATTTTACCTTGGCGTCTATCCCAATTTGGCCTACTCGTGAGCAGGTTTATGAAAATATGCCACAGTGTTTCAAAAACCAAGGTTATGGATCTACACGCATAGTCCTTGACTGTTGTAAATTTTTGCCAGTCACCATCTTCACTCATGCTCCAAAGTGAGTTTTTCTCATTTTAAAAAAACCATACAACATTAAAATGTTTATTGGGTATTGCTCCCCATGGTCCAATAACTTTTGTCAGTTTATTATTTTGTAGTAGTATATCAGACAGTGAAATAACCCGGAGATCTGGAATTTTGAGTTTGCTTGAAAGAGGGGATTCCGTAATGTGCGACAAAGGATTCGCCATCAGGAGTCACTTGGAAGTTAAAGGTGAAAGGACGGTTCACATATGATGAGGCATTGCGGTCCAGCAAGATTGCTTCACTTAGAGTCCACGTAGAACGAGCAATCAGAAGGGTGAAAGAATATCAGTTATTCGAAGGCAGAATACCACTGAGTATGCTAGGAACAGTTAATCAACTATGGACTGTTGCTTGCTTATTAACCAACTTCAGCGGTCCTTTGTTTTAGGAGTAGGTATTTAGTTTTATTTTTGAGTTTTAGTTTGTTTATTGTTGAATAATTATTTTGAGTTCGAGCAGTTTAGTTTATCAAATACGTTCAGGACATATTTTATGTCTCTTCAAAGATCTTAGCTTTGTTTGAATATACAGCAGATGGTGTGGGTATTACAACATTATTAGGTTAACAGTAAAAAAAGGGAAATTTCAGAAAAGCCTTTTGTACTGCCTGTTTCACCTGTTTTCAACAAATTGCACTATGGCGAATACACAAAATACTAATTTATTGAAAAATAGTTGAAAGCCCAAAGCAACTGGTTACTACATTTTAAAGCAATAAAATACATAAATGCCTAGGCAAGTTTTTTTTCTGATATATAATTACGCTTCAGACATTTCAAAATGAAAATTTTTGTCCTCAAGATGACATGTTTGTGCAACCTATTTATGAAATGATCATAAAAAAAGGATTCCAGACGCATTTGTAGGTCCAGAAAATATGCATCATCAAAATATATGCGATCAATAAAACATGCACCCGAAGGTAAAAGAATAATGATCACACCACTTGAGTCCTGTGATTCCTAAACACCCCATTATTTGAAAATAATAATCATGATTCATTTTCAATGTCCATTCCCCTTTATCATTTTTAAAAGACAAGAAACCTTGTCAAAGTGTCAGACATGGGCATTTGACTTCTAATAAGCCATAGCATGGTTGCCATCACAAGATGGGTCGTAAACTTTGCGATCTGGTGAACACCAACCAGGGACAGTTGAAGATATTACCAATCCACATGGGGAACACTGGCATTTTTTTATTTCCTCGTATAATTTTACTGCTTCTGGTTCCATTTGGATACCTCTTTTCATCGCTGCAGTTTGAAAAAATTTGGAAGAAGTAAGATTTGAAGCAAGGGAGTCAAAATTTGAAACACGTTTATAAATTCGGCCAAATTTGGATGCTGTAATTCTAAATTTTCGTTGTTGGTGCCAAATTGGAGAGTTATACTGATTTCGAGTCATAAATTCAATGTGTTTACAATCTTCTCTGCCCAAAGTCGATTTTGCATCACTTTGTGTTGCATTTCTGTTAACACCGTGTTAGTCTGTGGAGACAAACTAGACAGAGGGAGAGAGGGAATTCAAAACTTTTCTCATCACATATCTGCTGATATGCTAGAGGACTCCCAAATGGTGCTTGTCCAAAATTTGTTGAAATACTTACAACAGAAGATGGATTTGACGGCAAAATTGTATTTAACTGAATATTATATTGACTAAAATTTAAAAGCTCTGCCATTGCGGGATTCTTCCAGGTTGTTGTGTAGAGTGCTGCGAATTGTCTGATGGATTTCGAACATGGATTTTGAATAATAATTTTTTGGATAGGCAGCTGCTTGAATCCTTCGCTTCTTGGATGATGCCATGATTGTAATTGCATAGTGCCAGTAATAGCTGGGGGGACTTTCTTTAGTTGGAGATTGCCGAAATGCGCAGTGCAGTACAACAATGCTAAAGAATGACAGCAAATTGCTTCTCCCACTGTGCAGGAGCAAGTAGCACTCAGTACATTGACCGCCGCAAAGTTACAAATATGAATGGGTGGCTCGTTTTTTCTTTGTGATCGATAACATCTTGCCTTTATTAAAAAATTCTGACCATCTGGGAAAACTGTGAAAATAATAATGCATATTAGTGATAAGTTACAGCTTAATTTGCTTTCATGGTTAAATCAAAACCTAGGTGTAATGAGATTAGATAGTTAATTTATTTCAAACTCCTTCATTGTACAAAAATGCCAACAGCAGACGAAGATTCCAGGAAAGCTGTGTAATTTATAAGCTGCCCCCGCCTTATAGATCCCCTATAAAAATAAATAGGTAAACCCTGAATAGCCCATGAATAAATACACCACAAGTCATTATTTACTGAGGTTCTTAATGCTTAAAATTATAACAGTGGTTACGGTACATGTGACATCATGTCCCGCTCGCTCAAAAATCTTACTTGTCCTACCTAACTTACCATACCTTTGTAATCGTGGATGAAAGACTCCCAGAGGTATTTGTATCCTCTCTTGGCGCTATTTCCATTCCCTGCATGCTTTTCAGCATATTCTGTAACGTCATCAAAACTAAAATCAGGAAGATATTTCAAATCGTCGCTAAAGCTACGCTCAGCCATTACACAGACAGATAAAAAAAAACGCGCAAGAGTAACAATCGCGAAGTCGTCGTCTGACGTCCTGCTCACTATCCAGTGGAGGCGCTAAAGAGGTGAATACCCTCCATTTTGTTGTAATTTGCTGTCCTTAAAAAGTGATGTTTTAGGGCCCGTTCACATATGTTCACACTATTGCGTTGATGCACCTTAAAATCTTGTTTATTTAACTTAATCGTGCGTTGCTGCGTTAACGCATTGCGTCAACGCAATTGCTGTCCAAGGTTCTAGATTCATCTAACATTTATAAATAACTAGCATTATTCTTACATCTACAAATGCCAAACACAAGAAAAAAAATGGACAGCTCTGTAAAGAACACTGCACCAGAAAAATCAAGCAAGACATGTCCACCAGATCCCGGACTATCACCCATTCTTGCATCAGTGCCAGTGCCGTTACCTGCTTCCCTTTGGCCAGGCTTGGAGAAGCAACATCCGCTTCCCTATGTTGGCCAAAAATCCAAGAAACCATTCAAAAAAATATTGAGATACAACTACCCGGTATAATTGCCCGTTGTATTTCTGAAAACTTCACCAGCAGCAGTGCATCAGACTACATACCCCTAAGCCCAGGTCTCAAAGAGTTCATGGATAACCAAACACAGTCTCTAAAAGAAATCAAAGAGGAACTGGCATTCATCAAGGATTCGCAAACTTTTCAATCAAAAAAGTTTGATGAGCTCCTGAGTCGCCAGAAATTGGTAGACGATGAACTGAGAACCCAGAACAAAAAAATACTGAGTCTGGAGGAACGAGTCCGAAATCTGGAAGAAGATCTCTGGTATGTTACTGAGCACGCGGAAGACCAGGAAAGGAGATCTCGGCTCGAAAACCTAGAATTCCATGGAGTTCCATATCTTGCCAATGAAGACACTAACAAAATTGTTATGGAAATTACTAAACTCGCAAAAGTTAATGTTGAACCTAGTGACATTTCCCATAGCCACAGATTCCCAACACGCAATCCGAAAAATCATCCGCCCATCATCGTGCGGTTCACAAATCGAAGAATACGCAACAAGATCCTTGAAAATCGCAAGAACCTAAAGACTGCTCCCAACCACAAATATTAAAAACATCGCCAAGGTTTTTATTGCCGAAAATTTAACAAACAGGAATAAGGATTTATTTTTTCAAGCGAAAGTGTTGAAAAACAAATGTGGATATGCGTATCTATGGACTTCAAACGGAAAAGTCCGAATAAAAAAGAATAGAATGACGGACACATTAGAAATACTAGATGAAGACGATCTTCACAAAATCAAATAGGTCAGACTCTTTCTATCGGTCTTCATTTTATAACATTATCATAAGTCTCCATGACATTCGATAACTTGTGTTCAGTAATTCATTCTCCATGCCGTAGCAATTCTTATATGCATTGTAAATTGTGTAATCTTAAATTTCATTTTACTTGTATACTTTTGCCTCCCTCTAGCTGTAGGTATTTCTGTCATAAATCCATTGATTTAAACGTCCTTCTGTCCGGTCCAGATAATTCCTCCGAGGTCTCCTCAGCCCGATCTCCATCTATATGCCCTGTAGCAAGAAAATATTTAGATTACTCCAACATTGGAGTTGTTTCATTACCGTCAGTCCTTAAACTTTGTATGTATATTATGTTATTAATGTATATTATGTTATTAATAGAAAGATCATGACATCTATAGATAACACAGGTTTATTCAACTCTCATCAACAACAAACTCCCATGACCGACGCCATTTGGAAAACTCTAACCATTCCTTCGAACATTTACCCAGGCATATGTAATTATTTAGATTCCAGTAACATTAAAAATACTTCTTCGGGATTCAAGTCCTCTGATTTAGTTATAATTCACCTGAATGTTAGATCAATTTCAAAACATATTGATAGCCTAATCCAACTCTTAACTTGCTTCCATCATGCCCCCATATAATCGCATTAAGTGAAACCAAGTTGTCCAATTCACCTATCTGCAACATTAGAATTACTGGATACAACTTTATTCATAACCCTTCTCCCACAAAATCTGGAGGTGTTGGCATGTTCATCAGATCAGATATCACTTCACTGAAATTCACCAATGTGACCTAAGTTACTCAAACTGTGAGATGAGAGTTAGTCCTCCACTTACCTATACCAAGAAAAACATCATCATTGGCGTTGTTTACAAACACCCTCGTAGTGACATTATGAACTTCACTGAAGCGATGGAACAATGCCTCTGCAATTTAGAGAATCGTAATAGTAAATTTATAATTATGGGTGATTTTAATATTAATCTTCTAGCCCATGATATACAAACCATTCAATACATGGACATGCTCTTATCTCACTTGGCTATTCCCATAATTACTCACCCCACAAGAGTTACTCCCACATCCCACATCCTAATAGACCACATCTACACAAACATTATAGATCATGATTACTCGTCTTACATTTTACTAGACGAATATGTTGCATTCCCAATATTAATGTAGCGAATAGAATTGATACGGCTCGCACAAAACGTAAAATGTCAAACTTTAATAAAGAAAATTTTAGACACGATGCGGAAAACGCCTTTGACAACTTCATGGCCACAGAACTATCTAATACCAACTTCAATCAGAGGTTTAACACTTTTATTAGCATAATAAAATGCATACTTGACAGGAACGCGCCCATGGGAAAATGCTCACGCAAAGTGACTAGACTGGCAAACAAACCATGGATAACCAAAGGTATCTTAATATCGATAAGGAACAAGAATTTGTTGCATAAAAAGCATTACATACTAGGCACCCCAAGTCAACGAAGAAACTACAAAAAGTATAAGAATACTTTAACCCACATCATCAGAAGATCCAAACAAAATCATTACCTTACTAAAGTAAAAAATTATAGGGGGACATAAAACACACTTGGCGGACAATTAAGGAAATTGTGAATGTAAAATCGAATTCAAGTACTTCAATTCCAGAACTTACCCTTAGAAATGGCTCCAAAAGCACCAACCCATTTGTAATTGCCAACGAACTTAACTATTTTTTCACAAGCATCGGTAAAAATCTTATTGACAGTGTGCCACCTTCTAATAAAAATTTCAAAGAATTTCTTCGCTCCACCACCAAGGAATCAATATACTTTCGAGCTACCACTGTTAATGAGGTTTTTAACACAATATTAGCATTGAAAAAGGGAAAAGCGGTTGGGGATGACAACATTTCCTCTTACTTTCTCAAGATCATTGCCGACATTATTTCCCCGATCATTGTGTACTTCTTCAATGCTTCTTTAATAATTGGCATCTTCCCATCAGCCCTCAAACTAGCCCGCGTCATTCCATTATTTAAATCTGGGAATAAAACAGATCCATTTCTATTTTATCAAGTATTGCTATTGTCTTTGAAAAACTCTTATATCACAGGTTAATGGATTTTTGTCAAAATTTCAACCTTATTAATAAATACCAATTTGGGTTTCAGAATAATCACTCTACAAATCATGCTATTATCGACTTAGTTGAATACATCTATGAAAAATTTGAACGTGGTGAACATATATGTTGCGTATTTTTAGACTTGAAAAAGGCCTTTGATACTGTTAGCCATGATATCCTACTCGATAAACTCCACCATTATGGAATCCGCGGTTGTGCCAACAACCTTTTCAAAGACTACCTCACGGGTAGACAGCAATATGTTGAAATTGGCACTAACCGGTCTGAAGTGCTTCCCATAAAAACAGGAATTGTCCAGGGCAGCTGTCTTGGCCCACTGTTTTTCGTTTTATATATCAATGACATCTCAAATTGCTCTGACCTCTTGACAAAATTGTTCGCAGATGACACCGGTCTTCTCGACAGTGCGAAATCTGTGTTGACCTTAGAAAAACATGTAAATATCGAGATGGCAAAGGTATTCGAATGGATGATTAGCAACAAGCTAACAATCAATATTAATAAATCTAAAATTGTTCATATATGCCCTAAACAACGTCATCAAGTCACCGCAATTTCTATTAACATCAATGGAACAGAGCTAGAATCTGTCCCTTCTTACAAATATCTAGGACTAAATATAGATAACTGCTTACGTTGGGATGTCCATGTTAATGATATTCGTAAAAAACTTTCTCGAACTGTAGGTATGTTAGGTAAACTTCAACACTATATAGATACAGCAACCCTTAAATTGGTATATTTCTCACTTTTTCAAACATATATCCAATATGCTATTGTAGCTTGGGGATCCACATCTCAATCAATTTTGCATCGAATCAATGTACTTCAGAACAGGGCGGTTAAAATCCTTTATCGTTCGTCTGCTCGCATAAATCTTAACATAATTTATAACAAAATTAATGTTTTAAAGCTTGCAGATATTTATAAATTAGAGATCTGCAAGCTTATGCACAAATATCACAACCACTGTCTACCAAGTGCTTTTGATGGTTATTTTATACGACAAAGTACTATACACACACATAACACAAGATCAGCCTCCACACACTCTTTTTATTTACGTCGTTTGTCACATTCCATAACCCAAAATTGCCTAAAGTACACTGGAGCAAAAATGTGGAACAATTTACCAAGTGAGTTAAAAAGCATGTCCCACCAGATATTCAAATCAAATCTAAAAAGACATTTAGTGTCTCAATATATACTTTAGGATGGACAAAAACTATTAATTGTGCTATGTTACATGAAAAGTATTACAAATTATGTTTCATATTTTAGTATTAGTTAACATCAATTTACCAGTTTAAGCAATGGAGTACCGGTACCGGTATTCCTATCACAGTGCTTCCTATATTCAGATATTTCTATCATTGAAGGACTCCATAGTCTAGTGATTTTATACCAACATTTATTTTCACCTCAACAAATGTCAATATTGTTTTTTCATTGTATTCTTATCACAGTCTGACAGTATCAAATCATTTATATTTGTTCCTAATATTTTTCTTGTTAGCTTACAAGCAGTACGGTACCGGTACTGAGATAACGCGTCAGGACACCAATGGTGAATATTTATTTCAACATCCAGCGTGCTAATTTCACTTTATTTATTTACCTGATCGGTGTCCATTGCTATATCGCTTCATAGCACAACCACGTTGTGGTCAGGTCACCTTCAAAATTCCCCAGTTATTCTACAGAACAACATTTCGCTACAGCTACGTCTATGCAAACGGGAAATCCCCCGTTATTCGCTGCTATTATGGCACATTTAATGCACGGTAATTTTTAGTAATAATATATAACAATTGCAATTAGTTAGCTATTTAGTAAAATTTATATGGTATCTATTCGTTGAAACTCTTCTCCCCGATCTGTCAAACTAGGTGTTAGAACCTTGGGTGTCGCAGCTCGATAACCAGTTTTGGTTCCCCGCGGCCTCCCTTCCCCAGTAATTTAAATGTCATTTTTTCTATATATTTTTGCATGTATTTTTTGTTTTGTTTTTGTTTTTTACTGGTTGGAAAAAATAAACTTGACTTGACTTGCGTCAACGCAGTGCGTTGTAGGAAGACAATTCTTTTTGCGTTGACGCTGCGTTGCCCGCCGTTTTTGAATTCTGATTTGGTGCTTTCGCCATTTTCGTCGTATGACTTCGGTATGTCCGGGAGTGATGATGGGTTGACAGTACGGTATTCATTGCACAGTTGGATGTATACAAGTTTATCCATACAACCAGAGTGCCGATACCGTTCGGTATCGTACGTGGTTCGTAAACTTACTTTGTACAGTGGACTAGATTATGCGCATAAACTAAAAGGGATCGTACGGTGAGTACCGGTACGGTAGAGTCTGACAATGGGCAGGTCCCAGGTTTAAGGTAAAGTACAGGCTACTGCTGTACCGTACTGTACCGGTATGCTGTGTATTCACATGTGATATTTATTTTTCAGATTTGTCTTTAGAATACCGGTATCCTTCATTAATTCAATCTTGTTTATACCATGAGTCTATCAAATCAGCAAAAACTTGGAATCATGCTATGGGCAAAGCGCCGCCGTGAAAAAGAAAACAATACCTGTACCGGTACACGAAATTCAAGGCGATGGTGGGTGCACCCCATCTTGAGAAAACGAGAGGAAGCTGGTGAGTCTTTGAACAAGCTTGTCAAAATTGTAACAGTTTGTAAGTAAGGTGACATATTTTCTATTCAAATTCATGCTGCCCTAAGAGGCACAGGAGCAATGTTCCAAATAGACATTTGGTACTGTGGTAAGTGATTTAGATTTTCTATGTTTGTCTGCCTGTTAGTTTGTCATACTGTGTACTGTCTGACTGTCATAGCCTATCAATATGTTTGAGTTAATGTCATTGTTTTAATATGTCTGTCTATTTGTTGCACTCAGGAAATTGTTGACAGATACTGGAATATTATCAGATAAGTATATCGATTGCTGTATTTTATGTATATGTTATTATGACAGAAATTTGCTTTTTTAAATTTTTTTAACAGGGGTGAGCTAATATTTCATGTGTTTGTCAAGAAGATGTCTAGTTCTTTTGTGTTATTATCTGTCATGGTATGTGTACTCTTTCTGTCTTTAGGTGTTATTGGTTTGTGTGAATTTTATTGTTTTTTGTAGTATTTTATCTAATGTGCGTAGATATAATCCAGCTGTTCTTATTAACAAATTTAAAGTATAACTAATTGTGAAATAAAGCAGGTAATAAAAGGATTTTCTCCATTTCTTTGAGTTAAGTTAATATTCGACAAATTCAGCTTGGCTAAATTGGTAATTTTTTCTGAACTAAAACAGGTGAATTTCATGCACTGGTACAGGAATTACGGTTGCAGCGACCTGCATATTTCAAGGAATATTTTAGAATGTCGACAAAAGAGTTTGACAAGTTACTTGGAATTGTTGGTCCAAAAATAGAAAAATTAACGACGACGTACAGAAGGCCAATTTCCGCTGCAGAGCGATTGGCTGTAACATTGAGGCAAGTTAATGATTTTATTAAAATTGTCTATTTTTATTCTATGTTGTGCGATTTGATTTTGTGACTTTTTTCATTAATATGATAAATTTTGTCACTTTTAGATTCTTGGCAACTGGAGACTCTTATCGGACCATTGCCAATGGTTATCGTTTAGGGATTTCCACCGTTTCCCTCATTGTACCAGATACATGCAGGTATGATTTTCAAATATAATTTTGATCTTTTGTATTTTTGATAAATCCCAATCTTGATATCATGGCATTTCGTTTCTCTTGATTATCGAAATGTTCTTTTTTGTTTTTATTGATTTTGTCATAATTTTATATATATTGACTTTTATAGAGCCATTTGGGACACACTCCAACCAATGGTTTTGCAATGCCCATTCACCCAAGCTGCATGGACAACAATTGGGAATGACTTTGAAGCGAGGTGGCAATTCCCGAATTGTTTAGGTGCCATTGATGGCAAACATGTCATCATTCAAGCCCCAAACAATTCGGGATCCATGTTTTTTAATTATAAAAAGACGCACAGCATTGTGTTGATGGCTGTGGTGGATGCAAAGTGAGAATAAGCAAATTATGACTTGTTATTGATTTTATTTGAATCCTTGACAAATGTTCATAATGTTTATCTTTTCACAGTTATAAATTTGTGGCAGTCGACGTTGGAGGGTATGGGAGGAGCAGTGATGGGGGTATATTTGCCGACTCCTGTTTTGGCAGAAGATTGGCCAATGGTACCCCCAATCTTCCTAATCCTAGGTAGGCTGACAGTCGAATATTTACAAAATAAATGTTATTTCCAACACTTTGCTCATTACCGACCACTTTTGTAAGCTCTTGTGAACAGTACTGTGTTTGATGTTCTAATTGCCTATTTTCAACATTGGCCAAAATTTACTTCATGTTAGATTTTGTTTAATATCACAGTAGTATGTTGTCATATGTTACCACCTTGTATAACGTGTGTGAGTCTTTTGTGTTTGTTATATGTGCAGGAACCTTTTTGTCAAGTAGTTAAGATATATGTTTGCATGGAGCGATTCTTAGAAATTCAGGTAAGTTTGGCATGTTTTGCTTCTAACCGTTTGTTTTACACATTGGGTATGACTAAGTATAATACATTGAAATAAGTCCGATCTACAATCCATAGTAACATTACAAAATTAATATGTGAAATCATCTCATGACATTCTTTGTTTTGCCAGGCCATTGGGAAGGACGAGTCATGGAGACTGCACCCCATTTGTATTTGTAGCTGATGAGGCATTCCCTTTGAAGGAAAATATTATGAGACCATATGGTGGGAACAACCTGAACTCAAAACAGAAAATATACAACTACAGGTTGTCAAGGGCTCGCCGAATGGTAGAGAGTGTTTTCGGAATACTTTCCAACCAATGGAGAGTATTCCATGTGGTAATGCCTCTTCAGCCTACAAATGCTGATGGGGTGGTGAAGGCCACCTGTTGCCTCCATAACTTTTTGAGGAAAGGAGAAAATCAGCCAGAAAGAGTGCAGGAAGCTTCCTCAGAAGCTGATAGCAATACCTTACTGAGGAGTTTGTCACAGATTGGGGGTCGTGCAACATCCCGGGCGATTGCTACAAAGGAATCGTACACTGATTTTTTTAGTGGCCAAGGAGCTATTGGATGGCAAAATGACCAAGTTTGAAGGTGATCAGATCATTATACACTATTACGCAATAAACATTAATAATATATCGAGGTTGAAGTTGCATATCTTGTTGCGTCATTGTGTGCCAAGTTTTCAGTTTATTGTTATACATTGTTTCAAATAAAAGAGTTTTGTTTCTATGAAAGTGTCATTTCATTTTATTGACATATCAGTATACTTAGTGGAGTGTATGACATGGAATATTTTATGAAGTTTTATTCAGTCTTTGTAAAAATCAAAATAGGGCTTTTGTGGTAATGACATACGGTATAGGTAGAGTAAAAATGTTTTCCCCACCTCCTGCTTTCGCAGTACGAGTTTAAAAACTCTAAGCTACCCATAAACTCCCATTTTTTTTTACATCCACCCCTTTCGCAGATGACACGAAATTTCCCCGCCATTGTTACGTAACAAGTGGACCGTAGCACGCTGCGTTAACGCATTCGAAGTATGAACACCCTCAACGCAATTGCGTTGGATTCCGTTCCCAACGCAACGCAAACCTATGCGTCAGTGTGAACGGGCCCTTAATTAATAAAAAAAAAAAAAGTAGGTTTTTGATGTATTTCGTTGATTTTGCCGAAGCAAAACAACCTGGGCGTAGAACGACGAAGAGCTGACGCGCATTACCCGAAATATCAAAATAATAACAATTTATCATAAATAGAATTCTTCCCATTACTGGTACCGGCCAATCTTTTTGGTCGAAGGGCCACATGTGATTCATTAATAATTGCGCAGGCCACTTGATATGGTAGTTATGATTTAGTTTTGCTACACTACTACAGGTTAATAATAAAAAAAAATACCCTCACATTAAACTTACACAATTTTTAGAACAATAAAACTGTTGTTTTCCAACCATTGACGGGGCGCCATCAGTGGTTATTCCCGAAAGTTTAGCCAAAGACAAGACGCTTGATCATTTTTATCACAGCTCTCGAAAAATCAATGCTTCTAGTCGTACCCTTAACAGGGGCAATGGCTTCGGTCTCCACGGTAATTTTATAGCATCATTAACTACCCGCAAGAAGATAGCAAGTCACCAACTGAGCAGTAAACTCAATGTCAGCGCTTCGTCAAGCGCCAAGGAATACAATAAAAAATTTCTCGCTTTTGCAATGAAAATTCTCGCAATAGCTTTTCAACAGGACGAGTTATGGTCTGTCTTGACAGGCTATTTTTGCAAACACCTAGAAATGCTTCTACATATGGCCCGCGGGCCACGAGTTGGACGACCCTGGTCTACAACACCAATTGAATCTAATATTTTTCTCCTAAAACCTCAGCGTAACAACAAACAGACTTAAATTATAGAACCCACATCCTACTTAGAGTGAAAACAGACGAAATGAACACACTTCAGCTGAAAACCTATCCCTGGCAAGTTCTGGGCCACAGGCTTCTACATATTTAACATTTTATTTTTTTGAAAATTTGTATTGCAAAAATAACTAATATTCATTTGTTCAAATGACTGCTAAAATGTACTGACATTCAAGAAATGGAAAAAGTATAGAATCAATTCGGAAGAGGTGCTAAATTTTATCCTGGCTCTACAGCTTTGAGACAGGAATGTGTCAACATAATGCACACAGACACAGGTGCAATCATAGTTGTTGCTTTCGTTGCTATTTAAAGTTTATTTATTTCTTCTGCGGAAGACTCGCCAAGTGACGAAAAATTGACATAACTACGTTTCCTTCAAATGTTTTAGCATGCAAGAATTATTTGTTTGTTAAGCTTAAGTTAACCGGGTTCCACATATTTGTTGGACACGAAGGCGTAGAATAAAGCACTGCTGCAACCTTGACTTGACAACACTTTTACTATAATCCTATCCATAACAGTTGTTTGTCTTCATGACCTGAACAATATAAATAAAAATACAGGGTTAAAGATAGTATATTGATGAAGTGCGCTAGATATTAAAGAAGCAAATTCGACCTAGGCAATGACTAAAACCGAATAATTTGTATTCGAATTTGTACAGATTTTTTTGTATTCTGAAATGATATTTTTGAATTACGTAAAATCCAATGTATATTTAATTATATGAATTTGGAAAAGTAAAACAGTAGAGTATTTTTAGTTTTCAGATATTAAATGAAGGCTCTTTTGTCTTCGATTGTGATTGCATGTCGAACAACTTTGCTCTACTCTAAAATCATGTGACACTAGTTTTGCCTGCATGTAACAAGAAATGACTAATGGGAATGATTTTGAAAAGTTTGTCACATCTCGGTTACTTGAACAGATCTGGGACAATACCAATAAGAAATTTACCTTAAGCATTTGGTTGATAAAAGTATCCTCACATAATGTGAGTCACATTATACGAATAATACAGATTATACACACAAACTAAAAATAATTTTCATTTAACAGCTGATACTGAAGAAGCTCCTATTTTTACTGAAAATTGCGAACATAAATTTAGGACAGTTTACATACAAATAATATGACATTTAAATAGTGACAAACTCACAAATTTGCTCTTCCAATGGAGCTGATGAAAATGATCATCATCATGGCACTCAGACAGTTTACTTGATTTGAAACAGCTGTAGAAATAAATGAAAAATCAGAAAATAATGTTACATTAAAGAAATAGTTATGATAGCATGAACCATTGCATTCATGATAAGTTATTGGCAATATATAGTTATCAATATACTCATTCCTGCATTCTAGTATTTGGTGAAATTCATGGGCATGGTACTACAATCAGGAATGGCCATTTCCGAATACTAAACTATTCCGAATACATTCTAAAATAATGTTTTCGAATCTGGAATTCCGAATACATTCTAAAATCGAAAATAACACATTTATGTTAAAACCCAGTAAATTAGGAAATAAGCTTCAATAGAAATAACAGAATGAAGCCACAAACCAACAGTATATGTACACAAAGTAATTGATAGTTTATAGCTATCAATAAAAAATAATAGCAACTTGTGACACAGTCAGTTTATTAAAATTATTCACTTTGTACAAATGACCATATGAAAAGATAGCCAAGGAGTTGTCTGACGCTTTCTATCATTGGTACCATGATATTACGATAATAGTCAAGTCTATTGACAAAAATACTACTTGTATTCAGATAATTGTGTATATTTTCTGAGAGTAATAAAATTTATTGGCGATACAGGCAACAACAATCGAAAATCCATTATGCCTTTAAAAATTCTAATATTTAAGCCTGAGGTATTCTACTACCTACCAGTATATTGTTATTATGTGTAACATATTGTTGTGTTTGGAATTAGAAATAAATTAGTAGAGAATAGATGACCACCACTGCCAGCGCGCAGCCAGGATTTTCGAAATCGGAAATTCCCATTGCCGCCTGTAACACCACCGCGATTCGCGCTCGTTAAAAGAGCCGTCTTTTCAGCGTATAATGATCATTCTTACGTAAAAAATTCAATCCATGACAACTACGAGATTCTAAAATATCTTTATATATTAATTTAATGTGTCCAACGTAACTCGCGGTTGCTTCTTCTTACGTCAAAAAAACATTACTATTTGGTCCACGGCGATCTGTGACCTAAAATTACGAGATAAACTGCCTGATGTATTTAATTTTAATACGTATTTTTGCAATCTTGCCAACTCGTTATCGCCGTTAGAAAAATCTCAAATAATTATATAAAATCCTGTTAAGTGTAGAGTATAATTCATTTCATACAATGAATATACATATAAAGTTTAGCAGTAAATTAAAAATACATATTCATCGCCGCGATTATGCCACCTCGACTTTTACAACAAATAATATAACAACGAATATATATTTTTCTGTTGTGCAAAGTGATGAATTCGTGACCGACACGGGCATATTTAAAATGTCTTGCTTTATTAATTTAATTGTCTTCAATTTAACCTGCGGTTGCGTCGACAAAATAAAATCCTCACCACTCTTATATACCATTGCAATCCGCGGTCATAAAAATAAAAACGTGAGGTAAACTGTCCGATTAAATATTGTTTTGATCCGTATTTTGCGAATTCGGCAAATATTTAGATGTACTTGTTAACAGTGACTCCGCTCGATCGAAATGCTGCCACTCTGATTATTTTTAGATAAAACCGTTCGAAAAATCCATAAATATGCTGTAATATCTCAGAGTAAAATTTATTTCATCACAATAAAATTGATTGAATATACTTTAGATTAATTATATTATATACATCCTCACAAACCGGGAAAAGGTTTAGAACCTTGTATCGTGTTAACATGAAAATATTCGACGGCAATTTAAAGTAATGGATAATCAGGCAAATCCCGCCCTCAATTAGTGACGATATGTTTCTAAACGCCGACCAAACATAATGTGTGCCAGAGGCACACGAAATTTTGCGATTTTCACTGCCTAGAAAAGCGTTTTTTAAATTTTCGCGGGCCTCAATAAAACTTATATTGTTTACGGTTTTATTTTCAGTATTTTAAATTGCCGCTTTTCAATCAAAAAGTTGCGTTGTCTTTAGAAACTCGCCGCCGATGAACGTATTTACCAGATTCACAATTCCGTGCGCGTACAAAAATAAAATAAATGTTATCGTTATCGTGGAACAAATTTGTGGAAAATTTTCGTTTTAGAGAAAATAACACAATCGTAAAGGCGTTTACGCGCCTAAATAACACGTTACGCTGATGAGTGATGAAAACAATCACGCGCAAGTTTCTATCGAGAATGTTTTCATTCAACGGAAACGTCTTGAAAGCGGCATCGAAAATGTGTGACGTCACACAAATATCCGATATTCTTATGAACGTGAATTCCGATATTCGAATGACGAGATATTCGAATACATTCGAATACTTTATTCGAATTGGCCATCCCTGACTACAATATTCTAGTTTCATTTTAAATAGCAAGAGTCAAAATCATTAATACCATAAATATTGTACATCTGTGCATACAGCATACCAATAACATGCAATATGATTTTACATTGGTGTATATCAAAATATCCAGCCAACCTTCTGCTATCTATTCGCTCCTTGCCTATTTTTTTGATCCAACTTCGGGACCTTGCAGACATGTGAATCAGCCGATGACAAGATACATACACCGGGGCACAGTGTGCAGTAGTGATACATGGATATCGTAGGTAAATCTCAGTTCTGCTCATACACAAAATATAACTAAAAGGAATCTTTTGGGCACTGGTAGATCTAAATATCTGAAAATATATCATTTTTGTTAAAACATTTTGAAGTTTATATTACTGTATTAGGACTAGGAGTATCTGTTCGACGGTACTACTGCGCAACTGCTTATACATACATACATACCAACGAAACTATACTAAAAAACGCAAATACAGAAATATATCAATACGACAAGTACCGGTATGTATTTACCTTACTAGATTTATTATAGTATAGCCCAATTCCACGTTGTAAATAATTTTGTTCGGGCGTAGTACGGTAGGTACAACACAGGTACCACCAGACCACCGCAAATGCTACATATCGCAGCCTCGTGGTACAGGTATACAATTATTTATTCGTTGTGACGCTTGTCAGAGCTCCCTGCTACTCCTTTTGTCGCCCCAGAATACAATATAGATTGTACGGTAAGCGATAACATCCAACACGACAAGCGCCGCAATCCAAATGCACTCGACAAACCGAGTTAAACCACCTCCAGACCAGGTTTAAAAAATCGCCGATTTTAAGTCGAGATTTACGTCACAGAAAGTTATACCACCTTTTTGATCCGGACTTAAACTGCCGATCCAAAGTTAAACTCCGATTCGAGGTTAAACTACCTTTTTGATCTACGCCCTAGATGTCCAACTCCGCTTGTCGTATAATAAACAAACAAAGGCGAAGTTGCACCTCCAAGTGGCGGTCGTCACGGTTGGTTTTGTTCAGACAAGATGCTTAACGACGACGACGCTCTGTTCATTGATGACTGATCGAAATATTTGCTGGAAGACGAAGAAATTTGATAAAAATGGACAAATAATTGTGAAAATGAAGACACAGTCTGTCTTGCAAATGACCAGGATGATGTGACAACTTCCTTGTCGAAAGAAATCAAGGCATCAAAAATGCGATGCATTGCCAAAAATGTCAGATGTAGGTAAAGTGGTGAAAATGAATACTTTGCACTTTATATAAATAAAAAAAAACGCTTAGTAGCACAGCATTTTGGTCTCACTCTGTGGCTGCAGGCATTCGATCCCTTCCTTAGTCTGTTGATGGAATGCTAGCAGACGAATCTAATAACAATTCAATGCAACTTGACTCGTGTTTCAATATTTTAATAGCATGAAAATCCAGCTTCCACAGGACAAAGTCCAGAAATAATGCAGTAATGTTATCAAACACGAAATATTGTGTTCCGGTTAAAGGCTAATTGATAATTACAATATTGAAACTGCGGTAACTGACATTGAATACGGTGCTTCTCTGGCAGATTATTATAACAAACTGTGTAAACAAGAACATAACAATTAATTACCTTTTCGTCAAAACATTATGCAACTGAACCCAATACCAGTACCGGTACATATCCTAAGCTCATATTTATACATGCAGATTCAAACAACAAAATTTGACACTAGAATAATATTAGTACAGCCATACACGTCTGAACTATACAGAGACAGCACTAACTCGTGTTACAGGCCAGAGACAGGAAATGACATGTATTCCAGAACATTCTAACTATGACGTCATACAATCTCGTCTGTCAATCATTAAAGACACTGCTGCAAACCGCTGCAGTAGGGTAGTTATAAAATGGCTATGTCCGCTATGTCCTTACTAAAATGGCTATGTCCGCTATGTCCCTACTAAAATGGCTATGTCCCATTTAAAATTGCGTCTCCGATATTTTCCTACTAAAATGACTATGTCCCTACTAAAATGACTATGTCCGCTATGTCCCTACTGAAATGGCTATGTCCGCTATATCCCTACTAAAATGGCTATGTCCGCTATGTCCCTACTAAAATGGCTATGTCCCATCTAAAATTGCGACTCCGATATTTCCCTACTAAAATGACTATGTCGCTATGTTTCTACTAAAATGGCTATGTCCCATCTAAAATTGCGACTCCGATATTTTCCTACTAAAATGACTATGTCCGCTATGTCCTACTAAAATGGCTATGTCCCATCTAAAATTGCGACTTCGATATTTCCCTACTGAAATGACTATGTCCGCTATGTCCCTACTAAAATGGCTATGTCCCTACTAAAATGGCTATGTCCCATCTAAAATTGCGACTCCGATATTTTCCTAGTAAAATGACTATGTCCGCTATGTCCCTACTAAAATGACTATGTCCGCTATGTCCCTACTAAAATGGCTATGTCCGCTATTTTCCTACTAAAATGGCTATGTCCGCTATGTCCCTACTAAAATGGCTATGTCCAATGTTCCCTCTAATTTTTTGTAGTATGTGTGCGCAGAAATTTTTGTGTGTGCACACTTTTTTGTAAATGACTAATATATGTGCAAAAACCAATGAAAAAATTTTGGCGTTCTAACCGGGTGATAAGTGGGCCAACAACAAACTTTTTCAACCTGCCAACCGAGCACATTGTTACATTACATCGAAATACGCCTGTGCGCAGTAAATCAATGCGCGTGCGCAGCCTCTGAAAGCTGTGTGCGCGCGCACACGCGCACACCTTAGAGGGAACACTGGCTATGTCCCATCTAAAATTGCGACTCCGATATGTTCCTACTAAAATGACTATGTCCCTACTAAAATGGCTATGTCCGCTATATCCCTACTAAAATGTCTATTTCTCTACTAAACTGGCTATGTCCCTACTTAAATGGCAAAGTCCTAAATGGCTATGTTCTAAAATTGCGATTCCGATTAGTTTCAACTAAAATAGCTATGTCTGGAATATCGGATCAAAATTGATAGATTTATATCGAACATGATCATCACCACAGAATCAATTGTGACGTAGGGTTAAGAAAAGAGACTTTGAAATTAACATCAAATCAACTGTTACTTTGTATCTAGATTCTAGACTATATATGCAATTTTTCAAGTTCTAATTTTAATTTAAAATTTGCACATTCTTAATATCAACTATTCTAGAATGTCAAAATAAATTGAATGGTAGTAGTTAATATTTTGTTTAAAACTTACCTATAAGGTAGATATCAAGGTGATCCAAACCCAGGCACGCAAGCCACATGTGGCCCGCCGCTTTATTATCTGTGGCCCGCGTCACATTCGGAGAGCAATCAAAAAATCGTATTTCGTGTTGTTTCGTAATAAAATTAAATAGAAAAAACTTTTGACATATTGTTACATCAATAATGTCACTGAATTGACTAGTGTTATGGCTAGCTGAGGCAACTAGCGAAGTTGAATGATGTGCTTGGCAGTCTAAATCGTTATCTGGCTTTCCATCTTCTTGTTCGGGAATATATGCTAACAATATACCGTGTTTCGCCGAAAATAAGACCTACCCTAAAAATAAGACCTAGCCTAAATTTTAGGATTGATTTTAATATAAGTCCTCCCCAATAGGACCTAGTCAATAACGCGAATTTTTTTTTACCTGGTCGATAGCAAGAAATCTCTCCCGTACGTTATAAATGATTACCTAATCTAAAACGTGTGGGAGAGGAAAACGTGTCATTTAAGTAAATGGATATCGGTTTCAATATTTTTTTTTTTATTTGAAAATCTCCTGATTCTGTACTTTCTAATTTTGTTTTTGATAAATAAAATTATAAGACATTCCCCGAAAATAAGCTCTAGTGATATTTTTCGAAAGAAAATTGAAATAAGACACTGTCTTATTTTCGCGGAAACACGGTAGGCATCATAGAAAACTAAAAATCGAATGCGGATTCTATTAGCCTGGGATGGCTATGTCTGATAACTATGTATTTGCACAATAAAAGTGTTTGTTTTGTATTGCACTGTTTACCTATTCTTGGCACTATTGTGGCCCGCGAGGCGACAACCTTGGATCACCCTGTAAATATATATTCCGTATTAGTGACGTCACAAAGGACATTTCCAAGCTAGTTTTCCCAACGTTGCCACATAGTATGACTATACCGTAAAGAAGAAAGAGACAAGGAAATTATTAAAAAATTAAGATAGCATTTCTAAAGTGCTTGTTGGACTGCGTATAATTTAGAATTTATTTAGCAAAACACATTTATTGTTTATGCTGGGAAAATTCATGAGTGTGGTATCTTTTTATTGCGAGTTGGCACCATGTTGTATTTGTCGACGCTGGCACAACGATTTTTTTCATTTCTGTCGGATCGAGGTATGTATCAGTCATAATACAAATGCTTGTTTTGCGGTTTGGATTGTTCAACTGGTTGCATTGAATGTTCTGGTTGTGAACGCTGGTGCCATTTCGATTGTGCCCGGATAGAAACCGAATTACGGCAAAAATGGGGAGAAAAACATCTATCTTACTATTGTAAATCTTGTGTTTTTCTTGACCATGGCTATGATTTCGAGGTGTCGATGAGAAGAGTTATGAACAAAATTGATCGTGTGAGTTTTGATACCAAAAATGTATATAAATGCCTGAAAGAAATAGCTGAGCAGGAGCAAATGCTGATGGACGCACATAAAGTAAAGCTTCCTGAGTTTCCAGAATCGAGGAATTTTCAGGGTGAATTAGATGAACCGTCCAATACTCTGTTACAACAATTGTCGCCATCGGGTTCAGATGAATATGAACCGATATATACGATAGGTGATGGAAATTGCCTGTATCGGGCAGTTTCTTTTGCTTTGTTTGGTACACAGGATCATTTCCTTCATCTTCGCTTCTTAACTATTATTGAAATTCTGTCTTATCCCCAGTGTTACGACATCGAGAGTACAAATTTACATCCAGTCCTAAAGACTTTAGGATCGTTACTCTGGATCTGAAAAACGTACTACACTGTGCAGCGACAATTGGCAGCCATTGTGGGATGGATTGCTTATTGGCTCTTAGCGCCGCATTGAAAGTTTCATACAACTCCTTTCAGCCTTCTACCGGCCCAACAGACATGCGATCTCCCGCTTATTCAATAAGTATCCAGGGTAGAGAGGTTTCTTCGAGACAGGGTTCATATTTTCACATAATGTGGACTACAACAAATGTTCCTGCAAATTTTATTGATTTCGTACCCAATCACTTTGTTCCTTTATTAAAGAGACACCTTCGACAAAGTCAAAAATTGTCCTTGAATACTTGCATTGATCTGGAGGGACCAGGTCTGGAGATTTCAAATTGCCACACTGAAGAATCTGAAAATATGATATCCAGTATGATTTATGCGCAGACTGACCAAAACACTGTAGACGAGGGCTGGCATGAGATTCCGTTTGGTATTTTCTTGGGTATTTCAGAATTGTTGAAAATATTCAAAAACAAAACCGTGAAAGTTAGTCCTAGAATACCAACGGGGGAGAAAAACAACTGTTATTTCATAGTTGATCACAAC